GCTGCTTTCTGTCACTATCCCAGATATATTGGAGTATTTGCTTGAGGGATTAAATAGGGGACTGTCAGCCAGCACTATACGCAGGCAGATAGCAGCATTATCGACGGTTCTCACTTGTGACAACCAAGTTTCCCTGTCTCACCACCCAGCGGTTGGTGCTTTTCTCAAGGGCGCGGTGAACACTGGTCCACCTACGGTCCATCGTTACCCATCCTGGGATTTGCCCAAGGTGCTGCAGGCGTTGACTTCTCCTCCATTCAAACCGCTGAATGCTTGTTCCCTTCACTTTCTCACCTTGAAGGTGGCTTTCTTAGTGGCCATTACGTCGGCGAGGAGGATTTCAGAATTAGCTGCTCTATCAGTCAGGAAAGATCTATGCACATTCCACGAGGACAGTGTGGTTCTCAGGTTGGATCCTGCATTCATTCCAAAGGTCAATACAGGATTCCATCGATCCCAGGACCTGGAACTCCCTAACTTCTGTCCTAACCCTTCCCATCGTCTGGAGAGAGGGTGGCATACATTGGACGTGCGCAGGGCCCTGCGCCATTACCTTAAAAGAACCTCGGCTTTCAGGAAGTCAGAGGCCTTATTCGTGTCTTTCCAGCCGTCTGCGCTGGGTAGGAAGGTCTCTTCTTCTACCATTGGACGGTGGATTAGAGCTTGCATTACAAGGGCTTACATTTCACAGTCCCTTCCAGTCCCTTCTCAAATCACGGCCCACTCTACGCGCAGTGCTGCGGCCTCAGCAGCCTGGTCTACCCAGGCTTCGCTCGAGGAAATTTGCAGGGCGGCGACTTGGTCATCTCCCTCTTCCTTCATTAAACATTATAGGATTGACAGATTTGCAGCAGCGGAGGCTGCCTTTGGTAGATGGGTTCTACAGCAAGTAGTTACTTCTCAGGGGACACAGGCCTAGACCTCCCTCCCTTCAGGGACATGAGCGGCTTTGGTATGTCCCAATCGGTGGACTCTACACCCATTCTGCTGGAGAAAGGGGCGTTGTCTTACCTGAACACCTTTTCTCAGCAGGATGGTGTAGAGTCCACACCCACCCTGTTTGTCATTAGTCTAGGCATGTGTCTTTTATTTTTTGTTTGGAGCCTTGCGTCTGGATACTTCGCCTCAACAAACACTGGGGAAGACATACCCAGAGGGAGGTGTGGCAAAATTTTTTGTCTTAGTCTGAACAGGAAGGCTGAAATAACCCAATCGGTGGACTCTACACCATCCTGCTGAGAAAAGGTGTTCAGGTAAGACAACGCCCCTTTTCAAGTGATAATTCTACACTATATTGAACATTTGGCATCAGACACTTCAATTATTTTGTGATCCTCAGATCTGCAGGTACAAAAGGGCTGTTCTTTGATATTTGGAAAAGTTTTTTCTTATGCAAAACTGCCCTTCTATACATTTAAGACAACAAAAAAGTTCTTCACTATGTAAATATTATTCTATTTTCCAATAAAGTCACCCATGGATGTTGGTTGGAAGTGGAGAAGGGAGGTGAATTGTATCAGATTTATCAAGATGTCATCACATCTAATTCCTTTAGAGCAGGAGTCTTCAAACTTGGCCCTTTTATGACTTGTGGACTTCAACTCCCAGAATTTCTCAGCCAGCATGCCTGGCTGAGGAATTCTGGGAGTTGAAGTCCACAAGTCATAAAAGGGCCAAGTTTAAAGACCCCTGCTTTAGAGGTCATTGTGATGTTATTGCATAAGTGACAAAATTCATGCAGACAGCATTGTTTTCAGGATTCTAATGTCTTTGAGATACAGCTAGTCTGAAACATAATTTCTTTGTATAGTTCAGAATAATTTGTTGAATTGTTATGTTTAATAGTTTGTTTCACAACAACTTGCAGTGCAACTAGGTTGTGTTATTACTTTAAATCTCTAACACAGTAATGAAGTTTGGGCACTGAGGACAACATAGAACACTGCTGCTTTGAATAGTTCAGATTTCTAACAACTCCCACAAGCCTTTATATTTTCTTGTTTCTATAGCTCGTGAAGGTTTGCATGTGGCTCTGTGGGTTGGTTCAAATCACAATTTTGAATTAGTTGAAAGAAAAATTCCACTTGCTTTGCATAAACTTCCATAGAGATCCTTTCATTCAGCCCATGGAATCTGATCAAAAGGGGAAAAGAAAGCAGCTGTTTAATGCCAAATTAGTCATATTATCAAGTAAAACTTTTATATTATAAATATATGTGTAGTGCAATAGCATTCCAAAATTTAGATCCAGATTTCAGTCATACTAAGAGACAAAGCTAAATTAATTCAGGAACTAATTCACACATTACAGTAATTCTTAATAGATTGCTTCCATTCCATTGATATGCAACCCTATGTTCATGATAATAGTACAAAACGTGTGGTTCATATGGCCAATATTTTACAACTGGGAAGAATTTGAGAGGTGAAAGGAGTTCCCTAAGCATTGCCAATTTCCTCTCTTTTGCTCCTGGACTTATCTATTCTAAGTTCAGTACATCATTAGCTAAAATCTCTAAAGCTACCAGGAAGCTGTTTTTAAATGTAACTCCCTGTTGCAGCAAAATTGCCCACTTCTTGTTAACAGTTTTGGGTATACCCCAATAATTACTTTAAAATCATGGTTAAATAGTCTAATTCTATGCAAAAACCCTGCCTAAATATGAATAAGTTTGGATCTAATCTATTAGGATATAATCCTAATTATAATGATACAATCATTATTGTGAAAATGTCCATTTCAGCATCTCGACTTATATTTAACACACTCAGTGACATATGTTTGTATAGTAAAGAGCCTATAGTTTTCTTTCAGATTTTGTTTTAGACCCCAGCTAAGAAATTAAAAATCAGGAATTCTTCTTCTTCCCCAAATGGTTTTAAACAGCAAGTCTTTAATACAACAGAAATTTCAGGGCATCACCATATTGCCACTGCTTTTTCTGCCCGGTTCCCTAAAAACAGTTTGAAATTGACCTGCAATTTTATTAAAATCTGCAGAACAATATAAGAGAAGGAAGAAAAACACAAATGGAGCCAGGAGATGAGAATGAGTTCTTGTTAATGAGAGAATATTCTGTCCACAAAAGTTCCAGAATTGCAACATTTTAGGCAAATACATTATGACTGAATCAACAAGTTATTCATTCAGCCCAGGCAAAGCCAACATTGTAGGACTGGATGTACCTGAAGATGACTCTGAACTGAGGTAAAACCCCAGTTCAATTAACCAGTTAAACTATCTGTCAGGTGCTTAAAGAACTTACGTAGTTTACTTATATAAATCCTCATATCCTCAGTTTCTTTTAAAAAGTGTCCAAAATAGTAAACTTAAGATGTTCTGTGTTTATAATCATGACATTGAACAAACCACTGTGAACTGGTCCATATATAAACCACAGTTAACTAAAATGGCTGGAATCACATCATGCACAAATAAGCGAGCATTATAATTGAGTGCAATATATGACCCCAGACACAGAAATATAAATAGGAAAATACTTTGAAAAGCCATTAATTTCTCTGATTCATCTAGCTGACAACATGGGAAGCCCTTTTTAACTTATTACATCCATGACAGGTAGGACATAGTCAATAAATATTTCTCAAGACAAAATTAAAAGCCACATTCTTTCCTTGGGGGGGGGGTATACGTGGGAGACATCATGTATAAGATCTCTCTGAATACACACATCTAAGGCATCTGAATTTACTTCACATTCTTTTACAGAATGTGCGGAAGCATGGTTGAACTAATCAAATGTCCATCTTGGGCAATTTTGTAATAAACGTATTTGTGACAATGAGTGTATTTGTGAAAAAGTAAGTATCTTAAAAGGGAAGCAATTTTGTAGTTTACTTGCAATCCAAACAATAAATTATAAGTAAAAGTTCTGCTCACAGAACTTTTCTTTCATAGTAAAACTTTCCACTCATTAGTGACCTCCCAATTGTACTACAATACTACTCTCTACATAAGGCTGCCCTTGAGTATCTGGAAGCTTCAACTGGTGCAGAATGTAGTAGCGCAAGTATTAATCTCAGCTCCATGAGTTGCATTGGTTACCAGTTTGCTTCCAGGTTCAATTCAAGGTAATAGTTCCAACTTTAGAAGTCCTTCATTGAATGAGGCTGGGTTATCCGAAGAATTGTCTCTTTCCAATTATATCTGCCTATGCCATAAGATTGGCAGAGAAGGCATGCTGTGGGTCCCGTCTGCTAGGCAGGACCCAAGAAACAGGCCTTCTCTGCCATGGGACCCATCTTAAAGAATATTACCCCCCTTACTCTGAACTGAGGCTAGGTCTATCCCTGTTAATGTTCCAGAAGTCCCTTAAGACCTGGCTATGTCATCAGACCCAGGGCTCCCAAGGGACTGGTGAAATTCTAAGATGGCTCCATCATTGTGGTTAATATTCACATTTCTTTGTATCTGGTGCTTTTGATTAGAAGCACTAGATACAAGACTTTTATATTTTAATAATTATTTTTATATATTTACTGTTTTAATTAACTGTTGTACCCTGCCCAGAGTCACTTTTTATGAGATGGGCGGCCGTATAAATTTGATAGATATCAATATTCATTTAGTTCTAGAAAAGATCCTTCACTTTCATTTTGCTTTTTATCAGGACAGATACCAGCTCTAAGTCTTCCTCTGATACCTTTTAACTATGCTATGCACATACTGTAATTCATGGCTACGACTTACTGTTTTCATTCTCAGGTTTCAATGGCTATGTCTCATTTGCTTTTATTAAAAAACACACTCATGTTTCTCATCCAGTGTTTCATTAAGAATGATCATTGTACTGTACCTTGGCAAATCATCAGCTTTAAAAGTTACTGGGTTAAATCGATAAATAGCCTTTGTGAGGCTGCTGTAGTGCCTGCTATCAGTGTTTCCAACACAAATGCCTGTAAAAAAAAAATAATCGGTACAAAAAAGTTAGCAGTTAGTATGTTGTTTAGTTTAGTTTCGTTTGTTTGCTTGCTTATCTGTTTTGTATTTTACCTTTTATGATTATATATTTTTTGAAATAAATAATGCTGTATCAATTTTAATCAGTACTATTTGTATGTGCCAAAGTTTTTATCATAAGCTTTGTCCTGGAACAATCCAGTGCTACAAGACATAAATGAACAATAATGATGGTCTCAGTGAAGAAAATAAATGCACATGTCAATATAATCTTGAAAACAACTTATGTATGAATGGAGAGTATATAGTTCACCAGTTCCTGATAGTAATAATATTAATGAAAAACAGCTCTCAGGCATCAAAGAAAAAAAAAGTAAATGTTTCCAGTCATTAATAGTATTTGAAGTGTCTATATATAAATTGAATAAAGCAGCGGAACAAAAGACGACATAGAAAAAAATGGAAACAATGTTCGAGTGGAAACAAAAGAGAAAAACACTAATGATCATGTATTTGCCACTACCTGGAGCTACACTGGCAACATCTGGGAAAACATCCAGGGTGGTCTGGCGGAAGACCCGTACAGCGAAGGTCTGGTCGTCCCAGGGGCTAACAGGGGGTGGATCAAAGGTATCCATCACTTCTATCTTCACTCTCTTATCATTAATTGTTTTGTCTAATATTTCCAGGACCTAAGAATATATACCCAAAGCACAAACAAGTTAAAGCAGCCAAGATGGTTGTCATCATGATGTTAGCACAAGTTCCAGACACTCCCTCAGTCCTTCATACCAGTTTCAGCCTTCCCAATAAAAATATGTAGACAGGACAGGAATCTCATTGTTGAAATCTATTTCCAGTTATACAATGGAACTGAAACTTCTTGCTGGGCTATTTGAATTTGGATCTTTGTGTCAAAATATATATTTTAATGGCCTCTTTAATGCAGATATATTTCCAATATTTAAATCACTCATATTAAATACAGGAATATATAACAGAACACAGCAATCAGGCAGAATGGTAAAGAAACTGTTGTCACCTTAATATTTGGCTTAAGCATTATTTCAACTTGTATTTTTGTCACAAACATAGGAAGGCCTTTTGCCTTCAAAGCACATGTTGCAATATTCAGCTATTAAAAACTATTTGTTCCTTCCCTAACATCATAGCAGGAAGGGAAGTACATTGCATAAAAACTGCTCTCTATAAAAGTTACTTTCAGGGAATGAGAGAGGCTGGGAAAGGACCTCTGGAAATGCTCAGGTTTCCTGATGCCTCTGGATAGAGAATTCTACTTTTTCAAGCAGGGATCAGGTTTCCCAGTAACAGTATCATTCAGGACCCATAAATTAGATGAGGTGGTGAGGGAATTCCTGCAGTTACTGGAAACCTACATGGTGCTAAGGTGGAGAAGAGAATACAGTTGCTGATCACTGCCAATTATGCCCCATCTCCCCCTGCTGCAGCAGCCAGAAGAATGCCAGTAGCTGTGACATGGAATCAGCTAGCATCTCAACTACAAGAAATAGGTATTAACAGAATCAGCCCAGGTTACATCACAGCAGTCACAGCTGCTTAAAGAGGGAGGATGCAGCACTATATCTAAATCAGGTAATCTGTTTAATGTTTCCTCAGGTAAAACTAGATGTCTGACTCTATAAGCCTGGGTCTAAATTATGACAAGTTCTAAGATTAAAACAGCAAAAGCATAAAATTCCACTGCACTTCATCATACTACCTCCTCAACGGTTTGTGATGAGTGGATGCGGAAATTCACTGTGGCATCAGCTTTTGGTGGAATAACATTTGACTAGAAAGGAGAGAAGAAAAAAAAGGAGATCTAAATGAGGGTAGAAGCATCAATACAGTTCAGGTCTGTGGCAGCAACTCAAAGCAGTTTCGCCTGCAGCCATAACATAGTTCCTGGTTTGTTGGCAGCATCTCTTTTAAGTTTAAAGGAAATTTGCAACTGTGGCTTACAAAAACACTTGCTTTTGTTCTTCTTTTCTAAATGCCATTATTCCTGTTTCCATCTATGTCACTCTATTAATGCTGAGCAAAGCTCTGCCTCTTCTTTTGCAAAAGGAGAAGTTGGCAGACATATCTGCACTTGAAAAAGATGTAGCCACATGCTATGCCAGATGGCAGTGAATAGCTTGCTTCTAAAGAATAGACAGACCCACTTGTGCTTGCCCTTAACTCATTGCACAGGGAAATGTGGGTCCATCTTCAGGGAAAGAAAAATGCTGCCAATTCATGTCTTACATCAATACAAATTTACGCTGGGCATGTATGTCTGTGTGACCAGCAGACCCATGTTCTTAAATAATGGGTCAGCCCTAAACATGGATAAAAGAGTGGATGGAGATTCAGTTTGAAAGATATATCCAAGGTGGTGATTGTTGAACCATATTTTCCTCTCCAAAAGCTCATCCCTCTCACCCTAATTTTTTTCTCTTTTGAATTATTTTGTCATAAATGAACTATCTGCAAATAAAGCAACTGTATTATGGATTAAGTTGTTTTGTAATTAAAATTACAGATAGACACATCTTTATTTCACATGATTGGAACAGAACAGCATTTAGAGCTATGGATCTATAATTTAGGTAACTTGTAACTAAATCCTAGTTCTACCAGCTGATGTCGCTGTTTAACTACCACAATAGCCACATTACTAAGTGATAACACCCTACATCTTTGATATTCTATTTTCTACATGTGTGCATACAAACACAAAAACACACACAGTGTCACAGACATCAGACTAAGAAACCACTTCCACTGTTCAACAATCTTACATTTCTCGAGCATAGACTGAAGTTTATTGTATATCTAAACTATTAAGGGTAAATATGACGAGCTCTTTGTAAACATGTGTATCTTATGTATATGTGTGTGTTTATTAGGACTGTACAGTACTTTGGTTTAAAAAGACAAAAGGTGTTTTGGAGCATGTAGGATGTGGATGCTTCATTTTGTTTTCTGGGATTACCTGTAGGGTTGTCTGGGAAAGATGTGTTCACCTTGTGAGATATGAAAAGGAACAAGACAGGGATGTCCACAGTCCCTTTTTTTTTTGTTTATTGTGGTTTTTGAAATATTGATTAGAGATATAAGACAAGATGAGAAGATTGTGGAGGAGATTTTAAAAGAAAATTATAAGTTAACATTGTACTCTAACAATCTCTCACTCCCTCCCCCTATCCAGCAGTAACCACTTAGGGAAGAAGAGAGGAAGGATTAAGAAAGGAGGGAGGAACAGGGAGGAAGGAAATCCAATGTACCTTTACTGGCCCATATTCACCTGTATCCCCAAACACTCTTTATTGACCCACACTACCCCACTGCACATTTTTCCCAACCCAAACAACATCTCTTAGACCAGGGGTCTTCAAACTTGGCTCTGTGACTTGTGGACTTCAACTCCCAGAATTCCTTAGCCAGAGTGCCTGGCTGAGGAATTCTGGGAGTTGAAGTCCACAAGTCATAAAAGGGCCAAGTTTGAAGACCCTGTCTTAGGCACTCCCATGCACCCTACCTAATCCACACACAACACCTTTCCCTGACCCCAAATTTCATTCCCTTGGAAGTGGTGGGTCCTGGATTTTGGACGCATTCTGTAAATTAGCCAGTTTGAGGTACTTTGGTTCAAAAATAGTTGCCCTCTTATGCATTGTTTCACTCAGTTAAAGGTCATGATGAGAGTTTTAGTAGCATAATAGATTATTTTTGCAGGAAGCACAATAATGCAGTATCAGAAAAGTGGATGGAAATGGAGGATTTTTTTGCTGTTTCCATTTTGGTTCTGTTTAAGTATGTTAAACATTTCCATTGGCATATATACCTATTTTGTTTTATTTTCTTACAAAAATGGTGGGAAATCTTATCTGGATTAATTTTCCTATCAAATTTATTAAATTTATATGGTACCCATCTTGCTTTGAGAGCAACTCTGGACAGCTTACAATGCAAATGTTGGATCTCTGTAGGTTACAAAAGCGGGGCAGGGGCCACCAATTGTCCCATTGAGTTTTCTTGCAACTTTTCCCAACCTACTGTCTTCCAGTAATACCTTTATTCCTGCATGAAACATGGTGATTGCAGTGGTGGTCCGAACTAAAGCATTAGTGCCAGGAGTTTGCTCAAGAAACCTGCATAAAGATTTAAAGGCAAAAGGTTCTTTGGTATCCACATTAAACCAACTTTCTGTACTCTGCAAAATAGCAGCAATATTTTATATTAATTGAAGTACAGTAATTGATACAAAAAGGAGAAGAAAGAAGAATCACTTGAATTTTATATAATCCAGTGAAGTACATTGCTTGTAGCTTCTGGTATATTTTTCATTTATTTATCCAGACTCAGCTTATTTTTACTTCCTCTGCTCTCTTTTACATAGTAAATTTTAGATTGATAACTGCTCAGGGCATAATTTTCTCTTGCAGTTTGTGAAGTCACTGAATAGCAGATACTGTTCCTCCCACAAACAGATGTGATAACGTTCTATTAATACTCCCATAATTGCCTTTTCAGAATTTGATAAAAGATCAATGCAGTTGAAGCAAGAAAGTTTTCAGTTGTTTTTTTTTGTTGTTGTCTGGCAGCTTTTCAAAATAGAAGAACAGTTTTAAGAAAGGAGGAGAAAGGCAGTAAGAAAGAATACTACTGAGGAAAGTACCTACTACCACCATTTCCTAATTAATTTATGCATGCAAGTTTCAAGAAAGGGAACTGATAAAGCATCTTCTTTCTTACCAGCCAACAAGAGGTCCGAAGAGCCACAGATTTGCCATGATGATATTGAGGGGGAAGCCGAACTGAATAGCAGGGAATTGGGAATGGGAAGAGAGTATATACACATTAGCAAATATGTAGACTTTCTTCTACATATTTGTCAACCATTCAAAAGAGTAATGATTGTACAAGTAAACATAATTACTATATACAAAAGCACAATCCAGTCCATTCTTGCTAAAGGAGGCAGTGGCCTTATGGAATTATTTTTTATAATATTCTACTAATTAAAATCTGACTTGAGTACTTGTTTTATTTGAGAAAAAAAGCCAAAATACAAATTTCTTTTACATAAAATAAAAAGAAAAATAGAAAATGAATCTATGGAACAAAGGAAGTAAATAGGTAACACATTAGGCTACTAGATGCAAGTCAAGATCCTGGTTATTACCTATATATATACCTTGACTTACAATCACAATTAGGACTGGAATTTTAGTCATTAAGCGATGTGGTTATTAAGTGAATCTGACTAGATCTGATTTTAACCATTTTTACCATGGTTGTTAAGCAAGTCATTGTGGTCATTAAGTGACTCATGCAGTTGTTAATTGAATCTGCCTTCCCCAATTGACTTTGCTTATTGGAAGCCAGCTGGGAAGGTCACAAATCATAGCCACATGATTGCAAGATGCTATGACCATCATGTATGCCAGCCCGTTTCCAAGTGCCCAAATTGCAATCATGTGATTGCAGGGATGGAGTAATAGTTGTAATTCAAGAAAGGGTCATTTTTTCTAAGGCCATTGTAACTTTGAATCATTATCAAATGAAAGGTTGTAGGTTGTAAAATCCTTTATGGCACAGATCTGACTATCTGAGAAGCCATTGGTCCACAACTTCTGCTCATCTTATATGTTCAGATAGCATTGACATATTGCATGTCCCATCCATTAATCAATGCCACCTGATGAGACCTAGGATGATTATCCTCCTCTAAGATACATCTGTCTGCCACTCTGGCTATGATCAATAGAGCTCTGAAAACCTGGTTGTTTTCCCAGGCTTCAGGGTAAGTTGGTGACAAGTCCTGCACCTTATATTATCTTTTAATAGCTGTCTTTCTTCTGGTGATTGGCGTTGTTTTGGAAATTGTATTGTATGTATTGTATGATGATGCCACCCAGAATCATTTGATGATGCCTCCCAGAGTCATTTGATAATCAAATAAGTTTTTCTAGTGCTCAGTACAGCAATTCATGGGAATTCTCCTAAGGTAGGCACATCAGACTTGCGACGTCACATGATGTCGCGCAATGTATCATGACTTTTTCCCTATTGCCGGCATCGGGTGGGTGTGGTTTCGGCGTGATGCATCCGGCCCGCAGGCCGGCAGTTTGACATGCCTGTCCTAGGGGGAAAAATGCCTTAAAATGATCAGTGTGTTTTATGAAAGATAAATGAAGAAAGCATGTATTGTTCAATACTCACCACTGGTACCAGTTGTTCAAACATCATGATTTCAGGTCCATGACCAAACAAATTGGGCATAGGCTGCGTTTCCAACCTATAGGAACCAAATGCAAAAAGCAAAATAAAGTACATTCAGTTGGATTATTTTGTGCCTAGGATGATATATTGCACTAAGATGTAAATTTGTTAGATATGTTAGTTCCCTCCTTAAAACAGAAAATCAAACTATCTGTTTTCAAAAATATCCCTTAGAATGTGGAATATATAATGTATTTTTCTGAAAATATCTTCTTTCAATCTAATTATGTTGCAAAGAGATCTTTTATAATTTGAATGTAGCCATCTACAAAAGAAGGGACTCCTGGTAGTGAGACAAGCAGAAGGTATGGATCAAATCTCATGCTCTATTCCCAATATAAAATGGATTAAGATAGAATAATTTTTATTCTCTGTGTGGTTGGTATATTTTAAACTTTTTATAATATTTCTACTATTTTCCTTTTAATAATGATTTCTAAAATATTTTATAATGATTATTTTTATGTATCTGTGGTTTTTATTTGGTTGTTGTACATTGCCCAGAGTCACTTTCTTTGAAATGGGCAGCTATATAAATGTGTTAAATAAATAAAATAAATATAAATCGTGTACTGTGTTAATTAGATCATGTATAGCTTTTGATTTCGATATTGAATAACAATGGGATTAATTGAAGAAACAACATTGAAAGAGAAAGTGGAGTAGAAAAAATAGGCAATTAGTTTAGTTGATTGTTAAGTATAATTCTTTGCTCAATTGCAGCAGAGTATAATAAGAAACAGCCTTAGCTGCCAATGAAGATTCTTCAGAAACAGAATTTGCCTACAACTTTTGTTCTATTCCCTATTTTGAAATGATTAGGGGAGGGGGCAGGGGAATGATAGGCAGGAAAATGAGAAATACTATGGAAGTAAAAATAAGGAGACAAAATAAAATTAAGATTTTTTTTCTAGTAACCTCTCGATGGCACAGTTGCAAAGCATCACAAACTTAGAGAGAGAACAAAGACTTCAAAGGCAGAAGGCAGAGATAATGAGGTTCTGGGTGAGTTGCTCGAAAGATTTCAAACCCCAGATGTGAATAGCAGAAATCAATTCCTGCAGAGAGAAGCCTACAGCCCCTCCCTCGTAGATCAGACCCTGAGTTCCCCAACAAGGGACTGCAGTCCTGAAGATGGGGGGAATCCCAGACTGAGGCCTCTGCAGCAACGGGCAGATTGCTGCCTTGCGAATTATCTGGATTGTTTCTAGAAAACAACACAATAAAACTGAATGATCCAGGAAAACTGGATTGATACCATTCATTTCAGAATTCTACAACCATGACTTTCTCCTTGCAGATGTGTTGGACTATAATCATTATAGGCTAGATCAGGGGTGTCAAACTGCCGGCCCATGGACCGGTTGCATCATGCGGAGGCCGCACCCACCCCAGCTCCGGCAATGCAAAAAAAGTTGTGATACGCTGAGACACGTCACATGACGCGGCGAGTTTGACACCCGTAGGCTAGATAGTTTTTAGACAAATCTATGAGGTTGTAGAATTCTATTCCAACCATTCATGACTTATTCTGATCCTGTAATTATTGCAGATATTTAACGTAGCATCTTAACAGAATAACAGAGTTGGAAGGGAACTTGGAAGAATATATGTTTTACTGTAAACTGATGCTTTCAGACCAGATAATTTTCCCCCATTAGATATGCATAGAATGATAATATGTTCCGAAGACAGACACTCACTTGTATAATGCTTCAGAAAGAATACCAATGCTGGTCCTCTTAGGGGGTGTAGAAGAATGGCCAACTTGAGATGTTACACTGAGATTTACATCAAGTGCACCCTTTTCTGTGATACCTATTCTGATAAGTAAAGAATAAAAAACATTAATGAAATTCCAGATGCAATACAGTTGGACTGTTTGTCATCTTCAAACTGAACAAACAAGAAGGTAGGTCTGACTTTTGCTGCTTTTTGGACAATTTTATGTACACCTTTTTTTTGCTTTGCTTAAACCATCACATATGCATCATCCAATTTACTCTGCAGTCAGATTACCTGCCTGCTGTGCAGGGCATCAGGAATTTCTACTAATGCCCTCTGGCACTCCAGCGCAAATCCTCACCCGCCTCATATTGCAGAATGCATGTTGCCCTAATTACTCTAGTCTTGTAAGAAGAGCAGCAGAAGCCAACATCTGGAGATGTAGGTCTATGTATATTACTCTGTTGCTAGGGGCCACTGTGACCAGGCATTCGTATACCTGAAGTTAATCAGTTACTATATGCACAACCTGGGGAAATATGAGATACAGTACAATGTCCATAATTTCATCATTCCAGAACAAAGGTGGACAAAATATAGACAAAGTAAATTGATAGATTGCAGTTTCAGTTATTTGTGAATTGTAAGGCCTGGCTTCCAATATCCAATTGTTTAAACATGATTCTGTGAAATAGGCAAAGAATTGCTTTTATTGTAGCAAACATTTGTATTTCTTTACTTACACAGCTACTGGTTTCTCTATTTTAGGGATGACTCCATCAAAAATAAAGCTTCCTTCATCAAGCACAAAAGAAAGTTGTACCCCTCTAGATTCCAGCTCAGCCACAATTTTCATTGCTCCTTTTTTGCCACCCACCTGAAAGGGAATTAGAATAACATTTTCCTAAGTCAAGCCATTGGCTAGTCTTTCAAAAGAATGCAATTATTATTATTCAGCAAAGGCTGTAAGTGATTTACTAATTATGCCTCAAACCACTGAATCTAAAGTGATTATTCAGAATCTCATTTAAAAAGCTACCGGTACTATATATCTAAGCTACCTTTTCACCTATCTAAATTCTAATTGGGAGATTTTTTTAATCCAGTCTTTATTATTTTTATAAATGATTCAAGGCAACATATGTATCTAATCCTCCTTCCTTTTCCTATTTTCTTCACAACAACCCTGTGAGGTGAATTGGACAGAGAGAATGAGTCACTCAGTCAGCTTTCATGCCTAAGGAGGGACTAGAATTCATTCTCCTGTTTCTAGCCTTGTGCCTTTAAAAAAGCATTATTTTTTTAAAAAAATTGGAGATTTGATTTAGATTATCAAATGTAATATTTAAAAATATCCAATATGTATATATTCTCCTTCAGCAAAACAAACTACTCCTAAATTGCCAAAATCTGATCAATGGGCAATAACCTTCCACTTTATTAGGACAGTATACATTAAAGATATTCAGATTAACCAAATTTTTAAAAAGCAATTTATTTGGAAACTACCATTCAGTTTTTGGGGATGGCTTGTAACTCCAAAATAAATAATAAAAACATGGGACAAGTTGTGAAGTTAAAAACAAACACATAAAGGAATAATACCTCTTCATCATGACCAAGGCCTATATAGAAAGATCTTTGTGGTCTGTAATTTCGTCTCAGTAAAAACTCTAGAGCGTGCAGAATGCCCTGAGGATTAGAAAGAAATCTGGTTACACAGTGAGTTGTACCATATATGGTGATTAGCAAGAGTTAGACTACCAAAAAGCAGAGCTCATATAAAGACCTTAACTGTATTCACTAAAGGTTTTTGACCATTATGATGTTATATAGTACTAACCACCCTCCTTGAGTGAGCATAATCCAGTGAGTTCTCTGGAGTGGGCAGCCAATAAATGTAAATAAATAAATATAAATTAAAATTAAAAAAATATATTTTGGCAAGAAACTTGCTGTGTCCCTACAGTTGATCACTATCCAATAGGAACCGCCTGTCCCCAATTATCTTGTCTTTCTTCCACAAAAACAGATGGTGAAGCCTAACAGAATTTCCACTCTTTGAAACTGGTCGGGGATAGTATTGGAGTTAAGGAGGAAAATGTTGCTTAAAGACTGGTTAAACCTGTGTCACTCATGGACTGGGGATGAGGTGAAGATAGCATCATCATGGGAATACAGGAAGAAGAGGTTCCTATGTTTGTGCTGTGTTAGATGTAAGTGACGGCATGTCCTAGGCAATTTTCTGCAACACCTATCTATGTGTAATCTTGCTTCCGTTTTGTTGAAAAAGATAAATTATTGTCTCAAAGATTGTGTGTGGATTTCTTTTCTTTTTTTATATTTTTAACATGTTGTATGCTTGCTACCCACCATTTCTAATAATCCCCTGGGACAACTGACTCAATCATGCAATAAATGATGCTTTGTTAACATCAGAGCAAGACAGCACAATCTGTTTCAAGCCAACAACTATAATTGCCTTTGGCAGCATACCAGGAACAACACTCCAAAAGTGAACTGAGCCAAGACAAAACTTATATTTGGTTTAAATTACATCTACTAAGTTTCATCATGTATTTAATCATTTTTCCCTTCTGTCATATTAAAGATATCAATTTGGAGGCAAATATTGCATCTTGAAGCTTATGAATACAATGTTTCTCAGGAGAGATATCTCTTCCATCCTCAACAGACATGTTAGATATGCTGTTATAATGATCTAATGGACTCATATGCTATCAATCAGATAACTCATCTTGCTTGTTTCCAGCTTTGAACAAGCCTATCTAAAGGCTATTGGGACAGAAGGATTCTATTGCTTTTCTCTCCAGCTTTCCAATCTGAGTTAGAGTAGTGTTGTTGTTCCTGATCATTGGAGGTCCACATTTCATTATATCCATGTCAAGCATGAGTCATTTGGTTTCCATAATTGTCAGAAAGGCTGTTTTAGTCACTAGTTAGCCAGAAGGTTGTAACTAGAGAACTGACCAATACTGATTAGAGCAGAGATAGGAAATTTGCAGCCCAAATATAGAATTCTTTATTGGCGAAGTGTGATTGGACACACAAGGAATTTGTCTCAGGTGCATAAGCTCTTAGTATACTTATATATGCCCCCAGGTCCATTTTTGCATGCCTCTAAGTTCACTAAAATCATACTATTCCAAGAGAGGCTCAATTTGCCATTATTTTTCATGGTGAATTGAAATAATTCACTACCTTTAACCTTCAAATAGCTTAATTCAGTCATAAAACCCCAAACAAACAAACAAAAGAGGCAGAGGCCACGTCCTTTGACTCTCTTTCACTACTTTTCCATCTTATCTTGTGTTTTACCAACCAGCTTTTCACTACAAGATGGCATGTGTGATCTGTATTGCCCTTTCAAACATCAATTTAATTTATTCTGGAAAAAATAGAGTCATTTGTTCAGTGAAAGCAGGAAAAGCCACTGTAATTTCCACTTTTTCAGTTTCAGTTTTCCAGAAGGAGCAATTGTAACTGATGTTGAAGCAGAACCTGTATCTAAGAAGTCTGTTTGAAGCTCAGCCAAACACAATTCTAAAACCAGTAAGGTGCTTTTGAAAACTATAGCATACAGAAAGAAAACTAACCGCCTCTTCCCACATTGTGTAATTGAAGCCATGCTTTATCATAAATATGGTACATAAAATTTCATATACTCCTGCAACTCATATTAGTTCTGCATCCCACCAAAATGAGATAAATTTATATACCATAACTGAGTTTTTATTATCTAGTGTTCCTCTTCCATATATAAATCCATCACGTTCCTCAGCAGAAAAGGGATCACTGACATCCCATCCATCAGGGTATGCTGGGACTACATCTATATGTGCAAGCAGCATATATGGCTGTAACTGAGGGTTAGATCCCTGGATGGTGAATAAGTGGCTGTAATCTCCGATAATTTCATGTTGAATGAATGAGGTAGAAAACACTGCAGGAAAAGCTTCAGGGAAGAGAATTAAGCAAAGTTAGCCATTGGATTCAATTTTGAAATTACTGGATAAAGAGGCCAGATTTTTAATGAATAGCATGTATAAAATAGTAGATGATATATTTGGAAAATGGTCAACTGAAGTATGGAACAAAGAAATTGTTTTTGTATTTCTGTCCATGGATGAACAGTTTTTAAAGCAAATAATATAAATAAGAAATAATTACTCTTTCTTTTCCCTCTTTTATCCTAGGGGGGGGGAAGAGAATAAGTATATTTTTGCAAACTCAGCAAATGTTCCCCTTGTGACCAGAATAGTGACAACATTTGCAATACAATAATCCTTCTGTTTACACAGTTCCTGCATCAGCATTTACTATCTTACTTTGAGTATATACACAGCAACCTTTGGATGTTCAAAGTTCTACTCATACTTTATTTCAGAAATTGCAATAATCTAAAGTAAACCTAAAGTATCATCCTTGTGTTGCAGTTAGACAGATGAACAACACTTTGCCATCATAACAGGAGGAAGCGGAAACATAGTACAAAGAAAACCATCTAACAAAATTACAGATTAAACAAACAGGGAACCAAATTTATTTCCTAAGAAAATTTGATGCCCCGTGCCGAAGAGAAATTGGCTTATTTAAAGCCATCTTACTGATTTTTTGGGGTTGAATTGATTTTAGAACTTTGCACTTTCTGGTTTACCCCATGAATTTTAGGGTGCAAGGGACAAGGTATATTGAAATAAGTGGGACTTAATTTCTATGTAATACATGGTGTTTTTCTTTTCCTAAGAATGTTTAAATCTGCAGGTACATATCTATATCAACATTTCAAACTTAAAACATCTTTAGGTACTTGCAAAAGTACTTTTTTTCAAATGGTATCATACAAATTTTTAATAACACTAGAAAGTTCCTTTTATAAACTCATATCATTAATCCACCAATGTCAGTCCTATGTACATATCTTGTTCATGTGTCACACTTAAGTGTCACATGGTTTGTTTAGCTTAAAATTTTATATTTATGTTATACACAAATCAAGTATTGAGTTAGAATCCTTAACTTGTAGCTTAACATTGTGTATTCAACAAAGTAATTAACACTGGTCGTAACTTAGTATAGTATCTGTGCCAACCACTGATTGAAAAGGATCTCATTTTTCCCACTTACATTAATATTAAACTGGGAGTATTCACCATGAAAAATATATGTTTTACTCTTTCTGTAGATCTGTGTAATTTATGACAGAATGATAAGTCCAATTGAGAAACAATACTAAATTATTGTTCAAATACATATTCATTTTTTAAGAATACATATTTCTTCACTGATTAAACACCTATAACATATATAATTAACCACCTATAACCACCAACCCAATTTTTGTCAATTGAAATTTATTAAATAGCCATATTTTTTTCAATTTGGTACTTCAGTTCTATCAAGAAATAAAAGCAATACAATATTTATATTTTCTATGCAATCAGTAGCATTGATAGTAATAAAAACAAAATTTTAAGTTTAAATACCTTTGTAAATATATGGTTCAAATTCTTCCAGGGCTGTTATATTCTGATTATCTGGTGAGAAGGAAACTGTTTGTATTCTGACAGCACCTTTTGTAAAGGATAAAGCATGTTCAGGCAAAATTTCAGAAAAGTAATAGAAACAGATGAACTACTGCACCAATTAAAATGCCATAAAGATACACTTATATAAGAAACTATTACTATCACTGAGTTGATTAACTCTAGTATCAATTATAAGAGGGCATTTGCAGAACTTTTATGATAATAGTGAACAATTATCATGTAACAGCTTTGTATATTAAGATGGGAGCACATTTCAGAAGTGCACAAAGTTGACTGTGTACAAATCTTTCAGAAAGATCTACACAACATGAGGGATGAGAATTCGGTTTATTGCCGTTCATGTATTTGACAGTATTTATATGGCACCCCAATCATAGGCTACAAAAGACTTATAATAAAATATCAAATAAATACATATTTAACTTCCCCAACATGTGCAAAATGATTTTAAAATACTTTAAAAATCCACAAGCATATGAAATGATAGAAGTACAAAGCATATACAGTAGATGTCAGAGACTACACAGCAAGTTACCACCATCTCCTTAATACACTCCCCCCCCCAAAAAAATGCAAAAAATAAGGGATTTTACCAGCTTCTGAAATCTAGGGGACTTCCTAGATTTGGGGAAAATAATTCCCCCAACCCTGGTTTGGGACAGCCATAGTTTTAAAAAGCTTGCCTCCCTGAAACCTCATGGGAAGATAGAAACTATGCAGGAAGATTGAATGTGGAATAAATGATGTTCCCACAATAATTGGGGATCCAAGCCTCAAAAGGCTTCATAGATAGTGACTAGCATTTTGAATTCTACTTGGAAACTTGCCAGAAATTAATGCAGTTCCTGCAAAATAGGTGTCATTCTGCTGTTCCTGCAAAACAGTTGTCACTCTCTAATCTGCCTGGTTAGCAAATAGGAAACTGCATATTGTTGTCAACTGTTATTTCCAAGTAAGTGGAAGTTATAAAGGACCTCAGCTAGTTCTAGCAATGACAAACTGATAGCATGAGGCAAAATCATTGAGCACACTCCATACACATGTACCCTGATGTGGGAGGGAAGTACATTGTGATGTTACAGCACATGTTTCATCACTATGTCAGCAACCTAAATAGAGCATTACATGAATGCATGGCTATCCAACTTTTTGGCTTGCCTGGGCCACAATGAGTGAAGAAAAATTGTCTTGGGCCGCATATAAAGTATGTAACGTACTATATCACTAAGAATCACATAAGGTTAAAAGTTTATGATCTTGTTGGGCCACATTACTAGCTGTCCAGGCCCCATGCAGCCTGCAGCCCATGGGTTGACACGCCTGTATTAAAGCATCTGCAAGGTGTTAAGGGCATGAGTGACTAAAATATCTCCTTTTGGGCAAAAGTTAAAATGATAGCTTAACTCCAATTAAAAAAGGGACCAAACTAAGAGTTACATAGTGACCGAATAACGTCTGCCTGGAAAAGCAGTTTCCCCACCCCATCTAACTTGAGGAAGGAAAGAAGAGGGGAAATGAATCCATCCATGAGGACTTTCTCAAGTCCGGCAGGGTGCAAAGCCTGCATTTTACAATAGATCAAATCATATGAACAGTGTCTTTTCCGATACATTTGTGTCTACAAACTGAATTCCTATAAGTCGTATATAAACAGAACTATATACAATGGTAAGAACCCAATAGTGATTTTATTCAAAGCGATACAGCGTAGAGCCTCGAAGACGCTAGTGTTATTCTGGGCAGAATATGAAGTTATTTTATGCACTCTGATTATGAAAGAGTATCGGTAAAGCAGGCGTTGCAGCAGAGGTAGCAGCAAACATGCCGTCCTAAGCAGCTGCTCCAGGACAGGAGCTCTACATACTGTATCAAACCACTTAAGCCAGTAACAGAGGAAAACACAATTTAGTTTAACAGACACAGACAAGGCTATAATTTTGCTCTCTCGAACCAACAGCACTAGCTTCCTATTAAAAACAGAGAGAGAAATATTTACTTTGAAGAAATGACTGCTTTTATACTCGATTCCATCTTTGCTTTTTCTTTTTTCTTTTTTTTACCTTGGAGCACCTCCTTGAGTTCCTCCAACTCGCGGGAGCTAAAGGCAGCTTCCACTCGCCGCTGCCGCTCCTGCTGCTGTTCTTCCCGCAGCCCTATGGCCGGGCTGGAAGGTCGCGTCCCATAGGCTCGGAGGAGCATCGCGACCAGCAGAAGCACCACTATCCCGCATAGTCCCAATCCAGCCCAGCACAAGACTCCTCGCAGCCGGGCACCGAAAGTCGCCATTTTCCTGCGCCTTGGCCCAGCCGCCTTGGGAACTTTGACAGGCAGGCGCGGCTTCTAGCCAATCATTGACGGAGCAGTTAAATTATCACCGCCGCGGGAAACTTGATTTGGTAGGTCTTGTTTGTGCAGTACAGGAGTCCCTCGGAGTTCGCGCGGGAGGGGAATCTCAATTCATCCGATTGATGGCATTTAGCAATGGCCTGTACATGATTAAGGGGCTAATAACTGTTTTAATGGCTCGTGAATGTCCCGTCTTTCTGTCAAAGAATTGGGCTAAAGACCGCTCCCACAACGGACTTGCAAACGCCCTGCCAAGCACCAATCTTTCATGTTGCTTAGCGATTGCAGCAGGGAACAAGTGCTGATTAACCTTGTCTGGACTTAAATTCTAGCGATCGACCTGGTTAGTACTTGCTGGGATACCACAAGCACAAGAAAAGACCAGTGCTGCAGTCAAACTGGGAAACCGGTTGCCCTACTTGCCAAATAAAGATGCAAGGACTCCTCCATGAAATCACCAGGAATCCAGTTTGGACTGAATGAGTCTACTATTTATATACACTCAGCATGAGTTTTGAACCAGAAAATTTAAAAATATACTTTCATCTATATTAGACAAAATCTAGTTAATTTTTCAAATTCAATGCCTGTAATATTTTGAAGAAGTCAATCTTTATTTGCTCTAATTTCAAATTCTGTTTTAATTGACTTCAGAACCACTGGGTGCTTTTCTTGATTAGCATTTTGATGATAAACCTTTTCATAGAATTAAATTTTGGTATATTAAGAGGCTTTTGGTTTGTGCTGTCCATATGAGGCATATGCCCTGTATATCACACACTTTACGGAATCGTCCTGGTGGAAGAAAGAGTCACAACAAAAAAACTATCCAACATCAATAGTCATTTGCATCATTCACATTTTTATATAAAATTACTTTGCATTTACAAAATACAATTTTAAAAAGTATCTTTGCTTAGATTAACTAGCTAGGCAAATCTGCCTGAGAGGTAGATTCTCTTCATTGTGGCATAAATTAAAAAAAAACCTTAACAATGTTTGAATAATTTTAAACTACTTGAGAGGAATCAGATAATAAACTGCTGCTCTTGAATTGAGTCCTATGACTCATTTAAGAATCCTTTAATCAAAACTATATTCAAGGCAAAACTTGAGCACTAAGAAGGTTTTAATCTAAATTATTTTAATGTTATACTTAGGTGGTATGGTTTACTAATGCTGTGCAAAGCAGAGGTATTTGTGAGAGTCAAAAATATCAAAGATGGCAGCAATGATTATGCAATTGAAACTGCCCCTTTTAAATATGCATTATCCATGCAATCTATGTAAAAAGGCTGGGCACTGATTGTGTCATTGTGGCCACCATTTTGACTTTTTTGAACCTTTCCTGAATGCCCCAGATACAAGCATTCTACAAATGTTTTGTGCTTTGGGAAATACCTCTTCAAATGGTTGGACAGCTTTACACTTCTGTATCTTTTTCTGAACAGAATACACAGGACTGGTAATCAAGCTGAAAAATAATGGTTTCTTACAGAAATTTTATTTTTAAAAATGAAGCTAAGGTAAATTTGTTTAGTTTAGTTATTAAGAACAAAAGGCTACAATACCAAGAATAATGTTGAATTACCTTGAGATTTTTAAACACAAGTATAGTAAAAATGTTACAGGTAATCCTCGACTTACAACAGTTCATTTAGTGACTGTTTGAAGTTAACGGCACTGAAAAAGTGACTTATGACCATTTTTCACATTTATGACCATTGCAGCATCCCCATGGCCATGTGATCAAAATTTGGACCTTGGCAATTGACTCATATTTATGACTGTTGCAGTGTACTAGGCTCATGTGATCACCTTTTGCGACCTGACAAACAAAGTCAATAGGAAGCCAGATTCACTGAACAACTGTGTTACTAACTTAACAACTGTAGTGTTTCACTTAACAACTGTGGCAAGAAAGGTCGTAAAATGGGGCGAAACTCACTTAATAAATCTCTCACTTAACAAAAATGTTGGGCTCAATTGTGGTCGTAAGTCGAGGACTACCTGTCTAAGAATAAATTATAGTATCTTCTTTGGTTTTGCTTAATTAAACCCATGTCAAATAAGCTTAATTTTGAAAAAAATTCAAAGAACTGTAGAAATGCTTTATGTACATAGATCCTATGAAAAATACTTTCATCCTCTAAACATAAACACATTCATCAGAATAGAGAAAAAAGATCAGAGATAGATGTGGTTTATAATGAAAAAGGCAGTATTACTTCTAGGCAATACAGTAATACATGTTGGATGATGTCCAGTACTATAATAAATACAGCCCTTGATTTGAAAAATGAGTTGGTGCATTTAGGCCACAAAAAGAAGGAGTATAGCAATAAGTTGCAATGAACAAAATTAGAGGAAAACTAGACATCATCATAGTTGTGTTTAACTTTGGTGTGGATTCTATACAATGAATGCAAATGTTAGAAGCAACCCCCCCCTCCCGTGAATTGAAACTGCTGCAATTGTGAGCACTTTATCTGGCAATCAAATATTTTCCATATTTTCCTTTGATTTCCCTCATGAGAGCAATGCTGGAAAATTAATAGACAAGCATGTGTGCTACATGCACACTTATGGCTCCATAAATAAAGGATGTAAGAGGAGGAAAATATGATCCAGAAGATATTCAAGCTATCCTTCGGCTTCTTCAAGATGGATGAAATATATTCCCTGAGTTTCTTCCTTCCATGCCAACTGTTTCAAGAGTCAGGTGCTCTGAGGTTCATAATCCAAGAGGAATTACAGAAGAGAATACCAGATCCGAGAGACATTCTGTCCTCAGTGCTATAGAAGCACCCATGGCCCCTTGCCAAAAAGGCCAATTTCCTTGCCATTCAGGCACAGGGACCTTCATAAAGAAACATCATGAACAAATAATTTGCCATCACAGGAATGTTCCTGAGTTGCTCACAGCGCTGTTTGTGTTTCCGAATGAAAAATGCTTCCAAACATTTCCTAGAAAAAAAAATGGAGATTTGTCTTACAAACTGATGCCAACATTATTAATAATGTGGCACAAAATTACATTAGATCTGTGTTTGGACTATAGTTTATATCAGATAAACTTTAGTTATAATTAAGTTATAGAATTTAATTTAACCATGACTAATTAAATATCAGATAAACTTTAGTTATAATTAAGTTATAGAATTTAATTTAACCATGACTAATTAAATATCAGATAAACTTTAGTTATAATTAAGTTATGGAATTTAATTGTGACTAATTTTTCCTTTTGATTTTAGAGAAACTAGTGTTGATTAATTCTGTTTGAATTTAACCTTTATGAATTCCTTATTACTTATGCTTAGATTTTACTATCTGTTTACTCAGAATTGTGTGCTGCCTCAATTTATAAATTTTAGGCAGTTTACACTACAGTGCAATACAAAAGCAATTCATTATAAAGTAATATAATCCCGAACAAAGTAATACAATAGTTAACATTTCAATATAACCACCATTAAATTCAGCCACAGCATGATAACATTTATTTTTGGAAGGCCTTTGGGAAGACCAGTGTTTTAACTGCTGCCCTAAATATTAATAGGGCCATCTTGAGTTTAAGGAAGCAAGCTGGTCCAGACGAAGGAAGAGATAGCAGGAGTTTAAGTCCAACTCCATCTATTTCCCTTACAGTGAGCACCACTGGGGTGGGCAGATATGAATCAGAACAGAGGTCTCAGAGATATCCCTTTCTCAAGCCATGCAAGCCAGAGAGATAATCACCAACCATCTTGAATTGCAATTGGAAGCAAATTAATAATGCAATTCCTGCAACAGGCTAACTGTACCAACTGAAGTTTATGAATGTACCAGACCGGGTACAACAAATCACAACAATTCAAACACAAGGTGACTAGAGCATAAGAGGCAATAGACCAGTGATGGCGAACCTTTTAGAGACCGAGTGCCCCCCACCCCCGTCCCCATTCTGCCCTGCCCACTGGGCCACCCACCACCTCCACAGCCTGCCACAGATCACCCAGGCAGCCCAGCAGTGCCATGGCGGCCACGCCCTCCGCCCATGTCCCGCAGCATCATCTGCGCGCAACAGGGCACAAGGGCGGTGTTTTGTCCCCAGCTACCATGTCCTTGGCTGCGCTACTTCGTATGGGCCACGCCCAGGGGCGACTCTCCTCTGGGGGTTCTGCTGGTGAGGAGGGGACCGTGGGAAGAGGTGGGGCTGGGGAGACAGTGCGTGTGCCCACAGAGAGGGCTTCAAGTGCTGCCTCTGGCACCCGTGCCATAGGTTTGCCACCACTGCAATAGATAGTACATCTGACAGAGGAATGAGTCAAATTCTTCATTTACTATCATTTTGTTCTTTTAACTGACCTCTTCCAAATTTTGGAATTCAGCACTGCTATCTTCCAGAGATTCATCCGAGACAGAGACTTCAATCTGATTTGACCTCTGAATAGGAAGAAATGGCTGGTTATTGTTTACAAGAATAATGTATGATAAAGCTTCAGAGTTTATTTTTTAGTCAAATATCAGCACAGGATTTAGAGGATTCATTTCATGTAACATACATTTCAATAAGTTCATGAATCAATAACAACCTGCCTCCAGAAGCGGTGAATGCTCCAACACTGGAAGTTTTTAAGAAGAGACTGGACAGCCATTTGTCCGAAATGGTATAGGGTTACCTGCCTGAGCAGGGGGTTGGACTTGATGACCTCCAAGGTCCCTTCCAACTTTATTATTATTATTATTATTATTATTATTATTATTATTATTATTATTATTATTATTATTATTATTTAAGATGATTAGCCTGAGTTAATCATTAACTATTTTATGGGCTTTTTCAGGAGCCATTGATAATGTTTCAGCCTTGTAAGACATATATTTAGCAAATTACAAATTACAAACTGTAATTATGATATGTGTGTGATAGCTCTGAGTTGCACTAAATATACTTGGTGTGAACCAGCATTTCATATCTTAACAATAGCATAGTATACAAATAATACTTTAGGGTGGTTGATATTTTAATCAGCTATGTCATTATATTTGTGCTTCAAATACCAGTAAAAATTTCTGGATTGTATAAGAAACAGTTGACAGGAGGTATTTTAAATGCTTAAGGAATAGAGCGGGAAAGATGTAAATGGAATTCATAGCTGGCAATCATATTCTATTAATGTACTTACACCGAATTATTAGATATCCCATGAAAGACAAGCCCTAGAATACAAGTCCTCTGTTTTTCAAAGTTTGGGGTAACATGATTATTTCTCTAATTTTCTAATAATTTATTAAAGAAGGAACAGAGAGTGGAAATAATTATAGGTTTAAAAAAGTGAATGTATACAACTGAATTTAGCTGCAAATATTCATATATATACCATTTAGAATTTCTTTCATATATATTATGTAGACTGAGTTTCCTAAAACATTATTGAAGTCCTATAATTCTAAGACACAAAATATAAATTCAGCTGTCTATGAAACATGAGCTTAATACTTTGCCAGCATCCAAATGATAACAAGATTGCTTGAAATGTGTACATCTCTATGGCATAAATATATTTGATATACAGGAAAGATAAAAGCATATAACAGAATAACGGAGTTGGAAGAAACCTCTATTCCAGTGGTTCTCAACCTTTTTAATGCCGCGACCCCCAACCGGTCGTAAGTCGAGGACTAAACCGGTCGTAAGTCGAGGACTACCCAACCGGTCGTAAGTCGAGGACTTTCCCTGCCCGGGAGCGCTGCGCATGCATGGTTCTGCCCCCTGCACCGGCCGAGGCGTAGCTGGCAAGCGGCAGAGACGGAGCAGGCCGACCACCAGCTGGCCCAGCCCAAGGGAGGTAAGGCACCTGCCGGAAAAGGGGGAAAAATGGTGGACAAAAAAAATGGTGGACAGCCTTGCTTGGCGACCCCCGTGAAATGGTCGATCGACCCCAAATGGGGTCCCGACCCATAGGTTGAGAACCGCTGCTCTACTCCAACCCCCTGTTCAAGCAGGAGACCCTATATTATTTCAGACAAATGGTTGTCCAATGTCTTCTTAAAAACATCTAATGTTGGAGTGTCCACTTGGAGGCAAGTTGTTCCACTGATTAATTGTTCTCACTGCCAGGAAATTTTTCCTTAGTTCTAGGCGGCTTCTCGCCTTGATTAGTTTCCATCCATTGCTTCTTGTCCTGCCTTCAGGTGCTTTGGAAAATAGGTTGACCCGCTCTTATTTGTGGCAGCCCCTGAGACATCAGAACATTGCTATCATATCACCCCTCATCCTTCTCTTCATTAAACTAGACATACTCAATTCCTGCAACCTTTCTTCATATGTTTTAGTTTCCAGTCCCTTAATAATCTTTGTTGCTCTTTGCACTCTTTCTAGAGTATCAACTTCTTTTTTATATTGTGGTGACCAAAACTGGATGCAATATTCCAAGATCCATTTCATCTTGCTGGCTGGGAAATTCTGGAAACTGGAGTCTATACATCTTAAAGTTGCTGAGTTGAGAAACACTGCAGTGGCCCATGATCTCCATAACTGAATAAAATGTGGTGATTCTTTTTAAAATATCTCTTTTCTCTTTGTGTGTTGTGTACAACAAAGTAGATTTACTTTGAAGGCAGATTCGTTTGAACATTGAAGCATCAGCTGGTGTTTCTAAATTTTAATGTGCCATTACAGACCAAACAAGCAGATTTTTATGTGTATGTGGCCTTTCAAGTCAGTTTTGATTCTTGAAGACTATATAGAAAAGTCTATGCAGGTTTCTGAACAGAATTTATTTTTGAAGTGGTTTGCTATTGCCTTCTTAGAGCTGAAAATGACTCACTGGCCCAAAGTCACCCAGCTGGCTTTGTCTTCTGATTCCTAGCTCAAGGCCTTTAACTACTATATCAACAATTACATGGTTTACTTCGCAAATGATTCACCTTGCCATTTCATATATTCAAGCTGTAAGTAGTAAGGCCATATTTGTGTGCTGATGGTAGCAAGTCCATTTCTCATTCCAGTCAGATTTAGGTGAGATGGTAAATGTGCTCAAATCAGTGAAGGATTAAACGAATGATAATAAACTAGTTTGACCTATATGAAATGAAGATACTGCTAATAGACAATCTTTTGACCTAAGTGATTACACGATACTTTGTAAGAATAAACAGAACTGATCTTGGTTTAGCTTGAGGAGGAGGAGGAGGAGGAGAACAACTTCTTCAATGGATTTTGTCTCCAATTTGGTTTTCACTGAATTTAAAATAAGAATTCATGTTTCCATATATGCAATAGCTAAGATATGAAGCGTAATTTGTCAACTTGTGACTAAATAAATAACAAGTAACCATTTTCATTATATATTACATTTGATTTACAGATATAGATCCATTTTATGTGCTTTGTTCATTATGCTTAGGTTAGACTAACAACAATTGTGTTTCATCTTTATTTGCAGTATAATAAAGCACTGGATTTACAGGAAAAATAAGCTACTGGGTTATTTCTAAACAGTAGTATAATTAGGACTGGGCAAGTATAGCCTGTTGAATAGAATTTAATAATAAACTACAAAACTATTTGTAGTAAAACTACAAATAGAATGGAATTCAAGTAAAAAAATAAAATAAAAATCTCTGTTACCAAACTCATCCTGTTTTCTCATTTTAGCTGCTCAAAATCTATCTTTCCCAAATGTCTACACTTCTCTTTTTCTCCTTTTAGAATTTTGACTGCTAATGTTAGCTTGGCCATGGCAACTGAATTACCAGCTACAGTTTCGGTGATCATGAGAAAAGTTGTAAAAGCATACATTAAATCTTTACTGTTTTTTGAATTGTTGTTACATATCCATAAATATTTTTTAAAATTAAGATCAGAGTATAAAATGAAGTAGTCAATATAACTAAATAAATACCTCCAAATCAAGCATCTACTTACCAACTGGGCAGTCATTTAACTACAGTAGGCCTTTGCAGTGACTTAATGGAGTTCTTTATCTTGTTCTCTTAAACTTTGTCATAATTATTTTAGTTAAAAAAAGTTAGCATTCTTTTTAACAAAGCAAGTCACTAGCAATTATGACCACAGATTCTAGACTTCAGATTCTTGAAGAAGAGATTATTAATATAAATTTTAGTAAGACATGCAGAAGTTAGAAATGTAACTACAAACAAACTAATTGAGATGAATGTAGTAAATCAAGAAAAAGAGTTGGTTGCATGCTTATTCTTCATTAGTATGTTAGCCAGGTTAATTGCTGATTCATACTCTGACAAGTTCTGGCAGAACTATGGAAATATGTATCTGCCTACATAGCTAAGAATAAGTGGTTAAAAGATAGTGAATTATTTATACCTGTTCTAGGACAGAATGACAAGTAGCTCTGCTGCTGTTCATTGTTGCAAACAAAACAGCATCATGGATGGTCACAAAGAGGTGACAAGGCTCAAGACCTCCTTCTTCAAAAACTCCACCAGTGCAAATGTCATCATACACTTGAGCTAATGAAAAAAAGATAAAGTTAAAATTACTGATTGTTATTGGACAAGGATTTCCAAAATCTTTTAAATAAATGGTGTTTGAATACAACTCTATTGTTGCATCAATCTGAAGCTCAAAGATAGATTGAACAGGAAGCCTGAAAGAACTATACTGCCCCTACATTGTTAATGAGCTTATTGAGCACTATACTCAAATACAGTTGATTTTACATAGCAGACAATTTTTCAGGGAACAGGAAAAACCTGTATCACTCAGGACTGGCTACATAACTTCTCTTCTTTGAAAGAAGATAAATTTTAGCTCTGGCATGACAAGTCAGCCAGCTGAGCATTTTGGAGAATTTTAAATTGTCCATCTCCATATATGTTACTTTTGGAAGTCTTGTGCTGTGTAAACTGCCTTTTGGCCTGATCTTTCACCTATGGTTGAGTTTAAATTCTTAAGCTATCCTGCATTTTAAAAATAACCCACACAACTCATATGTTTGTGCATGCATATTACTAGAAGGTTATCTCAAGTAGTTTGATTTCATTTCTGCTCTTTTCAGGAGTAAACTTTTTTCTTGTCGTAGATCATTAAAGGTCTATTTAAAGTGTTTTTGTCTTGAAAAGAACCTCTGACTCAATGTAATTTTATCAGTTTTGTATTTGTTTTTAAATGCTAAAAAAAAACAGGAGATAGCAAAATGAAACTATTGCTGGAACTGTGATTTTCCAGTCCTTGGACTATGCTATAATACATATGTAAACCCACATGTGACCTGATATAGTAAGTGAACATTCAACTTTTGATATTTGCCACTAGAAATGATTCTGCCTCTGGTTAAATGGAAGTCAAATGAAGTTAGATATATGGGTTTATCTGTTGACCAACAATTACCAAGCAGCTTGTTCTATCAGCTATGTCATTAAAGTTCTTAAAATATTAAGTATCCATATTTGCCTTATTCCCCATCCTTTCAATTGTTTTGCTTGTCTTTCTATATTGAACTCTAAAAGCATGGATTCTTTATTAATCTGTAAATCACCCTGGGCATTTTTTAGCTCGAACAGTATCACATTTTAAATAAATAACTAATTAAGAATAAAATTCTTACCAGATATATTTGCAAGAAAGACTTTAATCCCAATCCTTTGATAGTTGGTACATAGCTACACAAGAAAACAAAATGAGAGAGATGGATTGATTTTACATAGGTTTGGCCTTAGCATTTACAAGCATTCATTTAATATTCAGGCATTATATATCATATATTAAGCTCATTTTTTTTCCTAAAAAAGCCAAAGACAACACAGCACTGAATTTTCCAAAGTGCCCAGTTACTAGTGATGCAATATATAGTCTAAACCCAAATACTTAGAATGGGAATGGAAATGATAAGGCTTACTTTTATTTATAAGGTATATGTTTGAAAATGAAAATAACATTGTATTTGGTATATAGAATTGAAGCCACAATCTGCATCTCCTTATTCTGTGGCTTGCTATATACTTAGCCAGAAAGTTAAAATAACAGTATAAAAACTCGTATTTTATTTACTGAAGGTGCAGTATTTGTTTTTTGTTTTATCTACAGAATGTTAATTGTTACTTTGGTTTCATAAATAATCTCCTGGCTTCTCATATGTGTTCTACAGAGACAATATCTCATTCTGACTATACTTAGTTGTCAACTTTTCCAATTTGCAGCCAGGAGTACAATGCTACTTGTATCAAACTTTAGTCCCGATTAACCCTATTTAAACAGGACATTTTAAAGACTGTAGCTTCAGTGAACAAGGCAGATTCCAAGAGAACAACACACCTTTCCCAAAGCTTTTGTACCCATCAGATCCACAAAGCAAACTCCACTCATGTCAAGAATAATGGTGTGGAAATTAACAAAAGGGGGTGCTATGCTCATAGGATCAATACTGGAGGCTGGAATAATGCTGCAGTTGCTGTTCCTATGATCAGATGTGCTTCTTTGTTCACATGAGGTATTATTTGGACTTAAAGAGTTCACAGATGGGTTGAAGACAATATAGGAGATGCTGTTGCCATTGGCAGCTGTCTGGTTGTTATTGGTATCTGTTGGAGAAGTACTTTCAAAATCCTTCTGGAGTTCTTGCAGAGACACAGTCTGCAACAAAGAAAAGTAGTTATTTTACAAATGTGAGCCAGGTGCTCAGAATATTTTATGTGTGATAAATATATGTGTAATTTTTTTTTCCTTTCTAGGATGAAAGAAAATTCTATTTTTGCCTAGCTGTAGGAAACCTCACTTATAACCTGGATAACTGCTTGGTTACCTTGTCTTTTCTGAAGATAGATTTTAATTTGCTCGTTTTCTGTACTGCTGCTGTCACCTTTTCTTGATTTTTCACAAATTTTTTTCTGGCCAAGTAGACTTTGATGGGATCCACGCCAGTCTGTTTAGGGAAAAAAGAAGTAGTTAGCTGCATTATCTTTCTACCTAGATTTTTGGGATATTTGAATGTTAACCTGGCATATAAATAAAGAAGTACTATTTTTTATGTGAAGACATAGAAAATAAAGCAGATGGCCTCTACATAATTAATTAGTTTTTAATATTATATAACCATACCAATATCTCTCTGGGAAACACTTAGGAAAATTAAGACAGAATTTTGCAGTATAAATGTTTATCCACGGACTGCTTTTCCTTTCAATAAACTTCAGCAAGCAGACATTATATTTAAAAAGTTTAATGCCACCCTTCAGTAAAAATATTTTTAGGGTGGACTAATAATAATAGTACCACTTCCCCTATAATAAAGCACTAATAAAGTATTTAAACTAAAACGTGAAGCAGTGTATAAATAAGCACATTGTAGTAATAAAAAGACTTAAGGGAAATAACAATATATTCACTTCTTATGAAAAAGATATCAGAAGAAGTGTCAATTTGTGTGTGTGTGCATGTGTGTGCGCGTGCACGTAGGCGAACACGCGCACGTGTGAGTGCACATGCATAGATGTGTGCATGTGTATGTGTAGAGAAATGATCTAGCCTTTTGTTTCCAATTGGGATATGTTTCATTTGGATCAAAATTTCTTACCTTTGCGATAACTTTCTCCCTGAATATTTCTGAATTGGCAAAGTATAGTGGGGAGCAGTAGGTGACAATTTTAATCCCTTCTATTTCTTGAACCTACAAAACAAGAGTGACAAATTTCAATAACAGAATATTTCTTGGGACCAGCAAAATGAGTAGGAAGAAAAAGAAGTTAAATTATACTTTGTCTTTTTAAAATAATAATATCAACAATAATAATGGTTATTACTTTTCAATCACAGGCTAATTCGTGCAGCAAAATAAGGGCTAAATTTTTTATGCTGTATATAGTACAGATATATAACCTCTGTAGATAAAGTGCTGCAATTTCAGGAGTATTTCAGATTCTGATAAATTTGTGACATAGAATGAAACTTGGGTTTTTCCAAAATAATTACTGCACTCTTATTTTTTTTATGTGATGAAAAAGGGAAGCTGTTTAATGCATGAAAAATAATATGAATTGTATTACAGAATTTGATTTAATTTTAAATATGGTTATTATCGTCCCCTTTCTGGTTCAGGCTGGAGCAATGAAAGTAAAGGGCGAACAAAAGAGCAGAAGGGTTTTATAGTTCTGCTTGCTTTTTTCTCTTTAATAAAGTAAAATCTCATCCTATGCCATTAAATAATCCCATATCCAGGCTTCAAATAAAGATCTCTATTTGAAAGGATGGCTTACTTTGTTGTTTTTTGGTTTGCATAGCATCTGCTATAGTTCCGAACATGCTTCAGCATTATGTGCTATGTATGTAGTTATGTATTAGGGAGAAATGATTCATTTATGATGGAAAGCAATCGTGAAAGGCACACAACTTAGCCTCCATTCCTCTGGCTGCTCCTGGAAGCTGTCCACTAATGCCATAATGCCACTATAGTACATCCAATTCTTTTTTTGTTGTTTTAAAAACTTTTGGGGGGTGAATGGGTAAGTTAAAAATAGGGATGGGAGTTGAAGGCAGCCCAGAGGAAAACCACTTCTATTCTAACTTTTAAAACTATTACCAAAACCTCTTATTTTCCAATCGCATAATGGCACGAAAAGTTTTGGTGGTCGTAGTCAACAGTGCTTTGGGCGGGATGAAGGCAGAAAGAAAAAAGAGCTTAGGGTAGACCTTTGGTATTAAATTATCTTATTGCATTTAAACCATTTGCCCCCAAATGTGTGATATGGTCTCATGAAACCTAACATCAATCATAAATGGGTCCTCCAAATTGTGTGGTTATACAGAGAGTGGCTTGATTTTTTAATAATCCCAAACTATTCACATGAGGAACATAGGAAATCTAAGGATAAAAGAGTGACTTTTTCAATATTTTTGAAATAAGAGCCAGTAACAATAATGTTGATTCACAGACCATGAAGCCATAATATTGTTTTAGCATTTTGCGTCTCAGTTTTTAAAGTATGGCTTCATTGAGAAAGGCTGCACATCATATCCAAACGAAAAGGTTTTATAGTTTAGCATTATGTAGAAACCATAATCACTCAACAAAGTCAAATCACATCAATATGGAATGAGGCTCTTTCGTTAATTCCATTACCTTGCTGTAGACTTTGGGGTTCTTGTATATATCAGTAGAAGCTACAGGGCCAAGGACAGAACCATTGCGACTGGGAAAGAAAATAATGAAACATGAATGTTAAATAACAGGTAGCTAACATGCAGTTTACAAGAAATATGATACACCCAGTAGTAAATGCAAAAGAGGAGGAGGATTTAAATGAATTAGGCAGAGTAGTTTTACAATATGAAAGTGTGGTTGTATCTGCAGTTCTATTATTCTCCCTAGTGGTAATGAACTGAGTGGCCTAGAATTTTGGATGTACCAACCAGCACATCCAAAGACTGTTAGATTGGGAATAACAGAACTGGATTTTCAAAGAAAAGAAAATGTCAATGGTTTTCAGGAAGTTTGATAAAAAAAAGGAGAAGATTGCAGCCACAATATGACTGAAGCTCCATTGCCATTTATTTTATATGCACTTGCAATGCAAATGAAAAGCAGGTTGAACTTCAGTCACACCACTGTGGCCACCATCTTGATTATTTCTCCCAATACCCTGTGAATTCCTCTGGAAGAAGTGTAAAATATGTGTGAATCAATACATTGTCTGAAGCATCCATAAAAAAAATTCAGTTTGCTTTCCCTTTTGTGATCTCATGATAAAGTTTTATAGATATATTTCAGAATACCCAAATACACTGAATTAAGAATTGAAAATGAAATAGCTATTGTGGAGATAGAATGGGATGAAATTTCATGGAAGTGGATATTTATTACATGTGGAGCTGGATATTTATTACAATACTCTTGTATTCATAGGTAATCACAAAGATATACCTCACAAGTAAATAATCACAGTACTTAATCATAAGTAAATAGCAAATATCACCAGTTGAGGGCAGACTAATGACAAAGAATTATCTTCCTAAAACAGTGTTTTTCAAACCTGCCAATTTCAAGATTGCGGACTTCAATTCCCAGAATTTCCCAGATAGCATGCCTAATGCAGATAGGGAAGCCAGGATCAGCACTGTCAGCATCGCATGTACACTGTTCACTATTGTAAATTCCTACTGTAGAAAATTTTCTCTCTATTGGTTTGTTTATTTACTAGGTAGTGAAATTCTCACAAAGTGGATTTTGTCATCTTAATTTCATGAATGGAAGTACTTTATAATTCTTCCATTTTCTGATGCTTTGGACTGTAGACAGGAGAAAAAATATGTCTTGTCCTGTACCATAAACTAAACTATAGGATTTCTGTGCTGTTAGAAACCAGCTCCATTTGCCTCCTAAAAATTACTTCCCTGAGAAGGAAGAGCAATGTCAAGTACAGATCCATCCAATATCTGCTTTCCTCTTCTTTTCCTGCTTTTTTTTTCTCCTTTTGTATGATGTCCGTTAAATAATGGATAGGAATTATTCCATTTTACCATAATCTGTCCAGAACCTAAAACATTGTGAATGCTTCCTAAATGTTTGTTTACCAGAATAGCAATATTACTGCATAATCACGTACGGATACTCCATAGACCAATCATGTTTTATCTGGGGCTCAAGAGAGGCTAGTACAACACTCAAGACTGCTTTTCAGAAGTGAAGTCATGATGTGGAAAAGGTTAGTTTAGGTCAATAAACCCTTTACTTCTTACATTGAGCCTCTGATAAGCAATAAAAGGAATTTCCCTTGTGTAAAATGGCAGAAGTACTTTCCTATTCCATCCTTGGAATATGTTCACAGGAAAGATAGATTAGCAGTTTATTAACAGTGGGCAGTTCCTTCATGTTTCATTGACATTTTGACATAAATTATGGAAAATGTCTCTACTGATGCATTAATACTCACAACTGGGTGTGGAAAACTACCACCAGGATGGAAAAACCCACTCCCACAGCGAGTCCAAAAGGCAAGCCTAGGAAGAAAGCTGATAGGAAGCTCACCACCCAAACCATCTGTGGAAAGACAGAAACACAGCAGGTTATTTCCTTGCACCGAGCTCAAGCTTGCCAAAGTGGATAAGGCAGAACATGTATTTGAAACATACCTGCATAGCTATGGCTTATGGAGACTACACTATTGCCTCTAGATAATTCAAGATCAGGTACTCTAGAGGCATCACTAATATATATTTGAAAACTAGAAATGGGGAAGTCAAGATTCTGTTTTGGTTTTTTTTGTAAAGATCAAGATTGTAACCTTGCCCTGCATGAGAATAGCTGAAGTGCAGGACAATTTCTGTGAAGTGTTAATAAACACCAAGTCAAGTTCTAAGACTACATGCAACAACCATTCTTTTCACATATTTGCTCTGCAGCAATGAGCAGTAGCATCTCTCTGTATATTATTGTAGAATAAATTTTCCCTTTCTTAAAAAAATGCCCAGACAGCATCAGAAAGCACTAATGTGATCTTTCCCAATTTTCCATTATACTGACCAAGCATAACCACTGTAATAGTTTCTATTTCCCAAGAGGAATGGCTAGCAGAAATGTGTAACAGAAGAAATTTGTGTTTGAATTTCCCTTTTTCCTTCTTTACCCTCTTTTCTCCCTGATTCTTTAAATAACAACAATGATGGATTAAACTCTTTCATTGCTCTTGGAATCTTTCCAGCAGAAAAGTTAAGTATCAGTGCTTCAAATCAGAGATAAGTAACTTTTTCCATTTGAGCCTTCTCTTCTATTTTTACATTTGTTCTGACCACCAAAGATTATGGGGGTACTATTCAGGCAGGGGGAAACTTTTGTAATTTTGGGGGAGAATTGGATGGTTAGGGTATAAAACAGGCCATGCAGGATATTAATCAAATTTATTTTACACATTTGTTTGCTAACACCACAGAAATGTGTGCTGATCAAAGGCAAGATCTGGTGGTGCTTTGTGGACTGCAAAAATGGGCCAGGGGAGGTTGCAGGAACCTTCGGCTAGCCTGCTTGCCTAGTTTACTTTAGATAAAAAGAGAATTTAGTTGGAGTGGAATTCCAAGAGTTACAGAATCAATGCCTCTGAATTTGCAGGCTGATGTGAACCATCCTCTGCAATGCTAACTGAGCATAAATTTATGAAATAAAAAGGCAGGATTGCCTCTTTTTTTTACTAATGAAGCAATTTCTGAATGTATGTATGCATATGTAATCTAGTGTTATACAAAATATCCAACAGCAAACATTTAAAGATTTGCTTTTTCCATGATAAAAAATTTGGAACATTTTCTACTTTTGTCAATAGAATTTATTTCAATCAGCGCCTAGTACTCTTATCGTTTTCTTATTAAGCCCTTTCCTTCAGTCAGTGGAAGGTCATCTATGTTCTAGTACAGCAGCTCTCAGTGTGTTCTAGGCACCCCTGGAAATCCCTGAGACCCTTTCAGGGGGTATGTGACATCAAATAAATAAATATTTTAAAATGTCTCCATTTTAATTTCTAATACAATAAATATTGATAGATATAACCTCCAGAAGCCTAAGCTCTTTGGAGTCTTCAATCATTTATAAGAATATAGAGGGGTCCCTAAGCTGAAATGTTTGAGAACCACTGTTCTAGTAAATCAGTTACCTTATGGAAATTTGGGTAATTTGCTTCTAGTCTCATATCTGCTATCCATGTTCTCAACTAAAAATCTTTCCATGTTAATTAATCCCTTTTAAGCTATGTTGATGTTTAAACTCAACATATGCAATAGGAATTCAGGTCTGGGTATTACATATACCCTAGCTTAGTTCAACTTTAATTTTTGTAATATCAGCTCAGATATACTTATTTACATCCATGCATAACTAGTTATGAAGTCACAAAAAATTATTTTATTAGTAAGAAAAATTTGGTATCTGGTTAAATGTGTAATGCAACTTATACAATATGCCTTTTGTGAAATACAGTGTTTTTAAAATAAAAAACGTGATTGAAATACTTCTCTGTGACAAGTGGATTAGATTGTTTTAACAAAGCTTCTGAATTTTTTTTATGATAAGATTCTAAGAGGAAATTCTGATGTACAGAATGCAAAAAATAAACACCTTTCAGTATAAATAAAATATTTTTGTAGGTTTTTGCTAATGTTTTATAAAATAGTGACTTAACTTACATGAAAAGGTATATCCTCCTTTCTCAAAATATTCTGATACTCACACAATCCAACTTGCTTTTTTTCCAGAGGTAATATGGATCAGTCAGTTGCTTGAGAGAATTCTTCAAATTTACAGCAATCAAAGCTCCTAGAACTGCCTGTGATGGAGATTACATGATAAATTGAATGACAAAATCTGCACAATTATGTAGGCAGCCCAGTGTATTGCCTGTTTATTTGTAAACAGCTAGTCGAAGTTTATAGAAGCAACCCAAAAGAAGTATATTTGCCAAATAACGTGAAATGGAATGTGACTTAGGTCTTTCAGATATGGGCTGCAACCATCTGGGTAACCACCAGATGGCAGAAAACACTTCTCTTATCTAATGTTTTAAGCCAAATGTTTTAAGCCCAAATTTGGCAGCTCTAAATATCAAATATGTCTCCTTCCACAGTACTTGATCAAAGTACTGTGTTATCATTATCACAGTCCATATTATCATACAGAACAGTACTACTGGACACAGATAACAGAATAAAGAAAAGAAGCTGCACAATCATACGCAAATATTCTTGAAATTAAGTCTCAATAAATACAAGACTTAATCCCAAGAAGTGTATGTAAATTGCTGTCCTAATATGAGGGGCATCTAGATTTTTTTAAAAAAGCTTATTCTCTAGTTCATGTTAGTTTGTTATTTCCAGTTCCTCTTTCCCTTAAGCAAACCCTTTCTTGAACTTAGTCACTTAGTTGCTTTCTTATGATTATATGGGAACCCACTTACAAAGGTTTCTGATTTTTCCAGTCCCCGTGACCCCTAGTCTTATTGTTTTGGGATGATGAAAAAACAGTGACCCAGAATATTTGATGTGTGCATGTGTGTCAGTGTTAAATAATAACTGACTTTTTGCTGGTTGATAGATGTATTTCAGCTTCCAAAATCTATAAAAAACTACTATATAAAGGAGGATGGAATTTTGGTGCAAATAATAGATGAGCAAGGGGGGATGTTTTGTAGTATTTCTACTAAATCTAGTTTACGGCTTTTGTCACTGATTGTTTTTTGGGGGGTTTCCTACTTTAAAATAGAGTAGTTTAGAAATCCTTTTGCTTGAGGTGGTCCTACTTCAAAGGCAATTATATTCAACGTAAAATCTAAAAGGCAACTTGTTTAAAAGTCAAACAACTTAGGATATTTTGCCATATAATTTGCCCTTGACCGCAAGGAAAGTTACAAGTTGTTGACCACCTTGATCTTCATTCCAGTTTACAATGTCTGAAAATCATATTTACTTATTTATTTATATGCATGTTTGTTTTACAATATTTCTGTGCCACCTAAACATGAGATTGAGTAGCTTAGTAGTGTAAAGCAGCCCTAAAGCCAAGGAGGAGAATGGAAATGTCCTAGTTTCTTGGGAAGTGGAATAGGCAGCATGCATTAAAGTTCAAATGTGTAGGAATGGGCAGATTCTGTTTGAAGCAGACAACCCAAATGAACCCAAGCCATGAAGGCCATTATACATAATAACTAGCACCTTCAATTGTACGGGAAACCTGTTAGTAACTAGAGCATTGACTGAAGGAAAGGTGTCTGTTGAATCATCTTTTAACTGTCAGCACATAGGCCACCACATTTTCTACCATTCTTTGAAATAACTTCAAAGGCAGCCTCATGTAGACCACCCTACAGTTGTCCAACCATGAGGTATTAAGGATGTGAGTCACACTAGCCAGAGCATGTAACTCTAAGAACAGCCAATTCTGGTGCCTCAACTAAAGCCAGGTGAATATTCTCCTGGTAGCATCTCCCACCTTCTATTTGAGCAGGAGCCATGAATCTAAGAGAACCCCCTGATCATGAATCTGCGGTGTTTTTTTTGGGGTGTGTGTGGATAATTTCATCCAGAGGCAAAATTGGAGCTTCTAAGGAATCAGATAATTTATGGGCAAATTATTACTGCATCATGTAATAGTTAAACCTGAGTTTGTTTTATTCCCTAAGTTTATAGAAGTTTGGTCAAGGTGTGTTGTTGCATCTTCCATTCAGTTATTTGTTTAAGTTATTAGTATATCAGTTCAATGGTCCTGAATTTTCCTCTAAAATTTGTAATTTGGCAATCAAACAATGTATTCACAAAAGTGCAGTTCCCCTGTTTAAATCTGTGATGAAAATGTTTTTAAAAATGAGGCAATAATTCTGATAAACACCATCTAAAAACTGATCTAGTGATTTGAATATTTACCTTTGGAAGAGGGCTAAGATAGCTTCCCAAAGACAACATGGTTATCATTACCACCAGTGCTACACAAAAACTTGCCACCTGAGAAGAGAAAAATAGCTTATTAAAAAAAACTATTTGGAATTATGTCATAGTCCATTCCAGTGTAGGAATAAAAATCAGAATAGCTGATGAAAGGAAGTGTCATGAAACAAAGATAGTTTCCTGTCCTAATTTATAACAATGCACATTTTAACTTGTCCTGTGAAATCATTGAAATAATAGCTTCTGCTACTGCATTAAAGAAAAATCCCATTTAAATTAATGTTAAAGCAGTTCCCAGAGAATGAAAACATGTAATGATATTAACAATAACAATAGCACTTAAAATTATATACCGCTCCATAATGCTTTACAGCATTCTCTGAGCCGTTTACAATGTCAACATATTGCCTCCAGACAACCTGGCTCCTCATTTACGACCTCGAAAGGATGGAAGGCTGAGTCAACCTTGAGCCGGTCAGAATTGAACTCTTGGCTGTGGGCAGAGTGAGCCTGCAATACTGCATTCTAACGACTGTACCACCATGGCTCCATTGATATTCTCATGAATAGGAAGTGGAGTTCTTAACTTTAATTAGGATGTGGCTAAGTTATGTGTCTCTGTGTTTTGTCTTTCATTGTACAAACCACTTTTCAATGGATTGCAGTTTCCCTAATATCTCACGCCTCAATTAAATCTCAAGAGAAGACAAAACAAAAAAGAACCTCCAAGATCTTTTTCAGATTAGAAGGGATGGACAACCATTGGGATTTCTGGGATTTGGGGGAAATATGGAATACCAACGTTCTCCATCACCTTGCAGCAACAAAAAAAGTCAGTTTAAAAATACTAAATAGATTCTAAAGAACTCTGGGAATTAGGCTGAAAAAAGAACCTTCTTTTGCAGCACAATTATTTTTAACTACCGTACATTATTCCCCAAAAGAAAGAAATGTTATGTATAAGCTAATGAAGTTGAATGAATCTCCTAGAACTATTACTGATGAAAAATGCCTCATTATATAATATTTTGAATCTTGCTTGAATTTAAAACTTAGAGTGCTAAAGAAATAGCAAGTGCTAGCTGGCAAATTGGTGTAGTATAATGGAGCAGAATAATGAAGAGATGGGATTCCAAATCAGTAAGGCGGTCTTAGCTGTACCACTTCATCTCCATCCTATAGTATGGAAACGGTAATATCGACCTACCTAGTACAATTAATTAAAGCAGTGATAAACATATACAGTTTTAAATATTAATTATTAGAGCTGTCCAATACTTTGGATTTGGTTCCAAAAAAGGTGCTTTGGAAGGCATGGGGTTGCAAAGGTAACATGTGCCTGCAACTCCTTCAAGCAGCCACATCTTTTTCTGGGTTCGCATAACACCTTTCTGGAATTGAATCTAAAGAATTGCATAGATCTGCCATATATCACTAGCAGAATCTACTTTTCTGGGAGTTCCTCATCCTTCTGGCCACTTCTTTAAGAATGGCAGTACAAATTAAGTGATCTCTAGATCTTGCTCAAATTCAACACTCAGCAGCCCCAACCACCATGGTCAATTGTAATATGGAGGGCCAGAATTTCCCAGCTATATCTTACAAATATTCTGTATTAATCTAAACATGACTCTAGAATAATGGGTTTAGGGAGGATGCTGAGAACTTTAATTCTGTATTCCCAGAATCATCTTAAAGAGTGAAAAAATGTCTAGCATTCTTTTCACAAATAAATCTTCCCATTATGGAAATGACATGGCAAACAAATGATAAACAACCTGAGATTTTCCACCAGCTCCATCCACAGCTAAGGTGACTGAAAGCGCACAGCAGATCACATGGATTTTAAAAAAGGATCCAAAAAAGTTACTGCAGCCCAGGGCCAACATTTCCTATGGAGACAATGGATTAGTCAGTTAAAGTTGTAGAAAATATCAAGCCGTTGTCCTTATGGTAAGTTTCTTTTGGTAATACTTCACTGGAAATAGAAATAGGTCAGTCATTAGCCTAAATCTGGTCCCTCATTTGTGGGTAACATTATTTATACAAAGACTGCCCCCATTAAGTCTTCAGAATCTGCTATCCCATTGCAGGAGAATCATTCACCACAACACTCCACGAGGATTCTTTCCACTCATTCCAAAATTATCCCAGGATTGTCTGGGTCACATCAGTCACATGTCTGGAAACTTTCAAGCAGTACTATCTGCCAATTTAAGTCTGCCACCCAAGTGAATCATCTTTTCAGCCACTGGAGTAAGTGACAGCATGTCATGCAGAAATGGCACGGCTGGCTGTAGTGATTGCTTAAAAGGCCAACGTTGTGCAAGTTAGTGTACATGACACCTCGATGGCATTCTCAGATGACATCGTTCTGAGTTACTCTTCAAAGAAGTTTGATTAATTAGACTAAAAATATTTACAAATTAAATCCCTTGAATGGTTTGCTCCAGATTCCTCTCTGAGGCAAGTCAGCAATTATGAAGCAATTGAACAAAGGGTAGTAATTATCAGGTTCTTACTGGCTGCCTGACAGCACAACTTTTATGTAGAGGGGTCACCTAAAACTATGACACAGGGAAGTGGAGAAATGATATTTCTTCCTAGCTTCCTCCTCCTCCAGTTGTTGTTATTTATTCAATGTAACTTACATCCTGTTCTTCTACACGTAACTTCCCAATCAACTTACCTGAAGCCAAGAAGCAGAGACAGTTAAGCTGCTCCACCCAATAGCCGTCTTTATGAGGTTGTGTTTCCTGTGAAGCAATCTGCTTTCTCAGAGTAATACATGCCATTCCCTTTTGGAGGGAATACAGTATTGAGAAAATTGTCCAATTGGCTTGCTAACTTACTATCAGTAAGAGATTGCCTTGGAAAAGGCTGAGTTACAGTGACCCTTTTTGTTAATAACTTCAAATCATTTACTATCGCCGTACTTTTCAGTTTTCAAATTATATAAGGAATTTTATTTACTGACATAACCAAACTGTATTGTTTATAGGAGATTACATAATCTGAGATGCTAGAGGAGGGTGACACTATCCAATAAGTCCCGCCTACCTGTCCTTCCATAAATCTAGTCGTGTCTCTCTGAGGAAGATAATAGACAGTAGTCCTTGACTTTCGACTGGTTGCTTAGCAACTGTTCAAAGTTACAATGGATACCCCCTTCCCCCAGAAACTACTTACAACCCAGTTCTGAAGTTCAGATAGCCACACCTTCCAAGGCCATGTGACTGCACTTTGGGTGCTCAGCAAGTGGCCTGCATTTACAGCCATTTGCAATGTTCTGGGGTCCCATGACCATAATTTACAATATTTTTGCAGGAACTGGCGTTTCTTTCCAGGTTCCAGCAGAAAGTGGCCCATAGTGAACAAAAGCTCATAAAATCAGGTCGTTCATGTGATGACCTGCTCTATAACCATCATGATGTATGACTGATTCTTAGGCTCAATTATGGTAGTAAATCCAGGACTATTTATATTTAAATTTCCAGCCTTGAAAATAACAGCAGGTAAGCCCTGCAATCAGTATATATATATATATATACACTGTATACCAGTTATCAATATTACCTGATTTGGGTCCACATCATAGCCATGCTTATTCCCAAGGGTTCTGCCCATGGCTAGGTTGATCACATAGCCCACAATGGCAAGTGAAAAAGCTGGGCCAATCATATATTTCCATTTGTCCACTAATGGAAGTGTGGCAGATGGAAACCTAGAATCAAAAGAATAAAGACAAACTTGATATAAAAGCCCACACATCAGTTTGAAACTAATAAATCAGACTAGGACATTTTGTTTTTAGTAAGGGAACAAAATTCCATACCAAAATTACAGTAATCCATATGGATTACATCTGGAGTACACCAGATTGAGGAAGTCATTTATGAGCAAAAGTATAGCTGTCAAATGCAATATATTTAAGAACAACTGAGACTGCAGAAATATCCCTCTGGCATGAGGTTCCCCTCAAGATTCAAACGTCCCCCCCCACCATCCTATTGGCGTTTCAAAGGACTCTGGCTTTTATCTCAGATCTTTGCTGAACATGACTGAGCCCTCCTTTCCTTCTTTTACTTTCTTCCTATCTGAATTTGTTCTCTCTGCCATCTTTGCTCATTTTTTTATGGTTTTCCTGTTTTAAATGTTTTTAACAATTTGTAAGTTATCCAGAGTCATTAGGAGCTGGGTGACATTTACCAGTATGTTTGATTAATTATTAAATTATTATTATATCATTTTTTTATTTGGTATTTTTCTGAGTTCCCTGAAAGATGTATAGCTAGAGGGGCCCTGTAAGTTTCATATTTTGCAAACAATAACTAGGCATCTGCATTACTAAGGCTCAGTGTTCAGTATTTGCAAAGGTAAAAGTGTCCCTGTCCAGTTGTATCTGACTCTAGGAGGCAGTGCTCATCACCGATTCTTGGCCAAGGGAACCAGCATTGTCCAAAGACATTTTTAATGGTCATGTGGCCAGCATGGCTATATGCCAAAGGTGCACGAATGCTGCTACCTTACCACTGAAGTGGTACCTATTTATCTACTCACATTTCCATGCTTTCAAACTGCTAGCTGGACAGGAGCTGGTGCAAGGAACGAGAGCACTCCCTGTTACATGGCACTCAGGTTGTCAACTTTCCAGTTGACAACCTCAGCGTCTTTAACTGCTGAGCCATCTCACCCCTCTCAGTGTTCAGCAACCTTAGTAAAATATTTAAAAACTATTTTTAATATTTTTGACCTAATATATTTTAATATATACTGTATATATTAAGCTACACTTAATATATATATATATATATTAAATATATATATATTGAGCTACACTAAACCCTTATGACTTTCTCAGTGTACTGATATATACAGTAGGTTTTGATCCTGTAAGTAGAAATTCCATAACAATATTAATAGTTCCAGCAGAGATGGTGTATGGACATGAAAAATGTAGCATAAAAGCAGTGCATGAATTAACCAAAGAACATCTAAAGATCTATGTTTATCACAATTTTCTTGAAATTACCCAAAAAGCAATGAACTGGGAAAGACTAGTTTATTGGATTCCCAGTATTTCCTTCGGCACAGCAATGCAGGCAGTGTAAATTTATAATTAGAGCACGATAATGAGTTGTCGCCTGCTTCACACAGCAATAATTATTATGCACATTTTAATTATGCTATGTCTGTAATTTATTAGTGGATTGACTCATTGTCATTCAAGCCTTGCAGATATTAGCACTTTTAGTCTGCCCTACTTTCTACAAAATTCTATGTTACTCCTAAACCTAAACCTAAATGTATGATAAATGCAGCCATTGGAAATTCTAAGTTAAATCTGACTTGTTTTCAAAAAGATTCATCATTTCCTTTCTGATACTGTTTTCTTAATTAGAACCGTCCTCTAATTCAGGGGTCCCCAACCCCCAGTCTGTGGACCAGTACCGGTCCGCGGCATGCCAGCAACTGATCTGCACAAACAAGCAAAGCCCTATCTGCGGGATGCAGGCAGCACACAAAACCATGCACCCTCCGGTCCGCAGAAAAACCTCTCTCCATGGAACCGGTCCTAGTGCCCAAAAGGTTGGGGACCTCTATTCTAACTCTACTATTTTTAATTCAACTTCATTTTAATTTGTGATGTTATATACTTTAATTCTTACTCAAGAAACATCCAACTTAGTAATGTAACAAATACAATAGCACTAAAGAGATAGCTTCATTAGCATATTCCTATTTGGAGGGGAATAATATTTACTTACCCCATATTAATAAGTCCAACAATTGGCATGTCATATTTCTCAGGCATATTAAAACTTCCAGAAATGACCGTAGCCACAATGACCTGAAGTCAAAGCATAAAAGATTTTAGCTTAGTCAGGTCTTCTTGTGATGTTAATCAGCATTGAAACTGCATTCTTTCAGAATATAATGCATGTAATAGCTTATATGTTTGAAAGGGATTCAATTTATATTATAAATTGTTACTCAAAGTTCATGAAATGTTGTGGTGTGATCGAGAACCTCAAGCACTCTCTTTCAAGGTTCATAAAAGTTGATGACTTTATATGAAAGAAGAAGAGTTAAGTTTACTTCCTCTTCTTTATTGAAAAGAGTATTTATTACCTCATCAAGACTGCCATAGTATCAATCTTTGCTCATTAGTTTCATTTTTAAAACAAGGGCTATATGAAAAATGAGTAAAAATATATTGTGCTAAAGCATAAATCTCTCATGTACTAATTAAAAATGACTTCTGCATATATATTAATGCTTTGCTATGCCATTAAGTTGTTAACATTTCAGTCAATTCACCTAAGTAGGAAAGTAAGGAAAATTAATCTGCAAACTATAGCTTTGCTGATGCAGTTTAAAAACTGCATTTGTCTTTTTTACAACATATCATACTATGGGCTCCTACATAATACTATCCAAGAACATTTCACAAGTACTATTACTTGCAAATATTTGCTAACTGAGTGAAGATAGTTTCCTTTTTCCCTGCTAAATTTTATTTTATGATTTCAGTTCATTCATCTAACCCAGTGGTTCTCAACCTTTTTAATGCCGCGACCCCCAACCGGTTGTAAGTCGAGGACTAAACCGGTCGTAAATTGAGGACTAAACCGGTCGTAAGTCGAGGACTACCCAACCGGTCGTAAGTCGAGGACTTTCCCTGCCCGGGAGCGCCGCGCATGCGTGGTTCCGCCTCCTGCGCCGGCCGAGGCGTAGCTGGCAAGCGGCAGAGACAGAGCAGGCTGACCACCAGCTGGCCCAGCCCAAGGGAGGTAAGGCACCCGCCGGAAAAGGGGAAAAAATGGCAGACAGCCTTGCTTGGCGACCCCCGTGAAATGGTCGATCGACCCCAAATGGGGTTGCATCCCATAGGTTGAGAACCGCTGATCTAACCTATCACCATACTTTTAAAGGTGAGGAAATGGTGACCCAAACATCACTGAGGGACTGAAGACAGTATTGTGGTGAGATCAGGAGCTGAATGGTATTTTTTGGCTGCTAACCTTCTCTGGATAAAGGAGAGACCATGAGATTACCTACAGACAGCTGCTCCTCATGAGTAAAGTTTAGGAACTAAAGTTTCTATGGTTGGTTTGTGAGTGGAGCAGCTGGGAGTTGAGCAATTTTCAGCTAAGCTCACAGCCTCATTGCAGCTTTATAGATACAAACTCTGCTGAATCTCGTTTCTTAATCACCTTTGAAAATTGCTTTTTAACTGGTTTTCAGCTATAGAGAACCTTCTGATTAACATGTTTGATAACATACACTGGGTAAGTTCAGTTTAAACCCAGCAAAATAAGTTTGAAAGAGAAGAGTAAAGGCAAACAACTAGGTGGAATAAGCTGCAAAAGGGTGATTATAATGTTGATTTTGGAAAGTGATAAACAGATTGGGGTGCCAGATAGATTTGAAATATGATTTTTGAAATTGGTTCCTTCCGTGGGAAGATGCTGTTGTTTGGAATATATGAAAGAAAACATGATAATATTGCGATTTAAACATCGGACATCATAAAGAACCAGAGATATCTAAAGATTACAATTAAAGGAGAAGAACACTTATATTTGATTTATTAACACATAATGGAGCAAAATACTTTAACACTGGACATATTCAAGATGATTGTGAGCAATGTATCCAGGAGTTAATCTTAAAAATGACTGCTATTATAGATAACATTTTTAAGAGATGTTGTGGAAGAANATCTTCCCATTATGGAAATGACATGGCAAACAAATGATAAACAACCTGAGATTTTCCACCAGCTCCATCCACAGCTAAGGTGACTGAAAGCGCACAGCAGATCACATGGATTTTAAAAAAGGATCCAAAAAAGTTACTGCAGCCCAGGGCCAACATTTCCTATGGAGACAATGGATTAGTCAGTTAAAGTTGTAGAAAACATCAAGCTGTTGTCCTTATGGTAAGTTTCTTTTGGTAATACTTCACTGGAAATAGAAATAGGTCAGTCATTAGCCTAAATCTGGTCCCTCATTTGTGGGTAACATTATTTATACAAAGACTGCCCCCATTAAGTCTTCAGAATCTGCTATCCCATTGCAGGAGAATCATTCACCACAACACTCCACGAGGATTCTTTCCACTCATTCCAAAATTATCCCAGGATTGTCTGGGTCACATCAGTCACATGTTTGGAAACTTTCAAGCCAAGGCAGTACTATCTGCCAATTTAAGTCTGCCACCCAAATGAATCATCTTTTCAGCCACTGGGGTAAGTGACAGCATGTCATGCAGAAATGGCACGGCTGGCTGTAGTGATTGCTTAAAAGGCCAACGTTGTGCAAGTTAGTGTACATGACACCTCGATGGCATTCTCAGATGACATCGTTCTGAGTTACTCTTCAAAGAAGTTTGATTAATTAGACTAAAAATATTTACAAATTAAATCCCTTGAATGGTTTGCTCCAGATTCCTCTCTGAGGCAAGTCAGCAATTATGAAGCAATTGAATAAAGGGTAGTAATTATCAGGTTCTTACTGGCTGCCTGACAGCACAACTTTTATGTAGAGGGGTCACCTAAAACTATGACACAGGGAAGTGGAGAAATGATATTTCTTCCTAGCTTCCTCCTCCTCCAGTTGTTGTTATTTATTCAATGTAACTTACATCCTGTTCTTCTACACGTAACTTCCCAATCAACTTACCTGAAGCCAAGAAGCAGAGACAGTTAAGCTGCTCCACCCAATAGCCGTCTTTATGAGGTTGTATTTCCTGTGAAGCAATCTGCTTTCTCAGAGTAATACATGCCATTCCCTTTTGGAGGGAATACAGTATTGAGAAAATTGTCCAATTGGCTTGCTAACTTACTATCAGTAAGAGATTGCCTTGGAAAAGGCTGAGTTACAGTGACCCTTTTTGTTAATAACTTCAAATCATTTACTATCGCCGTACTTTTCAGTTTTCAAATTATATAAGGAATTTTATTTACTGACATAACCAAACTGTATTGTTTATAGGAGATTACATAATCCGAGATGCTAGAGGAGGGTGACACTATCCAATAAGTCCCGCCTACCTGTCCTTCCATAAATCTAGTCGTGTCTCTCTGAGGAAGATAATAGACAGTAGTCCTTGACTTTCGACTGGTTGCTTAGCAACTGTTCAAAGTTACAATGGATACCCCCTTCCCCCAGAAACTACTTACAACCCAGTTCTGAAGTTCAGATAGCCACACCTTCCAAGGCCATGTGACTGCACTTTGGGTGCTCAGCAAGTGGCCTGCATTTACAGCCATTTGCAATGTCCTGGGGTCCCATGACCATAATTTACAATATTTTTGCAGGAACTGGCGTTTCTTTCCAGGTTCCAGCAGAAAGTGGCCCATAGTGAACAATGGGTTTGGTTATGACTGTGGCAAAAAAGCTCATAAAATCAGGTCGTTCATGTGATGACCTGCTCTATAACCATCATGACGTATGACTGATTCTTAGGCTCAATTATGGTAGTAAATCCAGGACTATTTATATTTAAATTTCCAGCCTTTATCAATATTACCTGATTTGGGTCCACATCATAGCCATGCTTATTCCCAAGGGTTCTGCCCATGGCTAGGTTGATCACATAGCCCACAATGGCAAGTGAAAAAGCTGGGCCAATCATATATTTCCATTTGTCCACTAGTGGAAGTGTGGCAGATGGAAACCTAGAATCAAAAGAATAAAGACAAGCTTGATATAAAAACCCACACATCAGTTTGAAACTAATAAATCAGACTAGGACATTTTGTTTTTAGTAAGGGAACAAAATTCCATACCAAAATTACAGTAATCCATATGGATTACATCTGGAGTACACCAGATTGAGGAAGTCATTTATGAGCAAAAGTATAGCTGTCAAATGCAATATATTTAAGAACAACTGAGACTGCAGAAATATCCCTCTGGCACAAGGTTCCCCTCAAGATTCAAACGTCCCCCCCCCCCACCATCCTATTGGCGTTTCAAAGGACTCTGGCTTTTATCTCAGATCTTTGCTGAACATGACTGAGCCCTCCTTTCCTTCTTTTACTTTCTTCCTATCTGAATTTGTTCTCTCTGCCATCTTTGCTCATTTTTTTATGGTTTTCCTGTTTTAAATGTTTTTAACAATTTGTAAGTTATCCAGAGTCATTAGGAGCTGGGTGACATTTACCAGCATGTTTGATTAATTATTAAATTATTATATCATTTTTTTATTTGGTATTTTTCTGAGTTCCCTGAAAGATGTATAGCTAGAGGGGCCCTATAAGTTTCATATTTTGCAAACAATAACTAGGCATCTGCATTACTAAGGCTCAGTGTTCAGTAATTGCAAAGGTAAAAGTGTCCCTGTCCAGTTGTATCTGACTCTAGGAGGCAGTGCTCATCACCGATTCTTGGCCAAGGGAACCAGCATTGTCCAAAGACATTTTTAATGGTCATGTGGCCAGCATGGCTATATGCCAAAGGTGCACGAATGCTGCTACCTTACCACTGAAGTGGTACCTATTTATCTACTCACAATTCCATGCTTTCAAACTGCTAGCTGGACAGGAGCTGGTGCAAGGAACGAGAGCACTCCCTGTTACATGGCACTCAGGTTGTCAACTTTCCAGTTGACAACCTCAGCGTCTTTAACTGCTGAGCCATCTCACCCCTCTCAGTGTTCAGCAACCTTAGTAAAATATTTAAAAACTATTTTTAATATTTTTGACCTAATATATTTTAATATATACTGTATATATTAAGCTACACTTAATATATATATATGTATTAAATATATATATATTGAGCTACACTAAACCCTTATGACTTTCTCAGTGTACTGATATATACAGTAGGTTTTGATCCTGTAAGTAGAAATTCCATAACAATATTAATAGTTCCAGCAGAGATGGTGTATGGACATGAAAAATGTAGCATAAAAGCAGTGCATGAATTAACCAAAGAACATCTAAAGATCTATGTTTATCATAATTTTCTTGAAATTACCCAAAAAGCAATGAACTGGGAAATACTAGTTTATTGGATTCCCAGTATTTCCTTCGGCACAGCAATGCAGGCAGTGTAAATTTATAATTAGAGCACGATAATGAGTTGTCGCCTGCTTTACATAGCAATAATTATTATGCACATTTTAATTATGCTATGTCTGTAATTTATTAGTGGATTGACTCATTATCATTCAAGCCTTGCAGATATTAGCACTTTTAGTCTGCCCTACTTTCTACAAAATTCTATGTTACTCCTAAACCTAAACCTAAATGTATGATAAATGCAGCCATTGGAAATTCTAAGTTAAATCTGACTTGTTTTCAAAAAGATTCATCATTTCCTTTCTGATACTGTTTTCTTAATTAGAACCGTCCTCTAATTCAGGGGTCCCCAACCCCCAGTCTGTGGACCAGTACCGGTCCGCGGCATGCCAGCAACTGATCTGCACAAACAAGCAAAGCCCTATCTGCGGGATGCAGGCAGCACACAAAACCACGCACCCTCCGGTCCGCAGAAAAACCTCTCTCCATGGAACCGGTCCTAGTGCCCAAAAGGTTGGGGACCTCTGTTCTAATTCTACTATTTTTAATTCAACTTCATTTTAATTTGTGATGTTATATACTTTAATTCTTACTCAAGAAACATCCAACTTAGTAATGTAACAAATACAATAGCACTAAAGAGATAGCTTCATTAGCATATTCCTATTTGGAGGGGAATAATATTTACTTACCCCATATTAATAAGTCCAACAATTGGCATGTCATATTTCTCAGGCATATTAAAACTTCCAGAAATGACCGTAGCCACAATGACCTGAAGTCAAAGCATAAAAGATTTTAGCTTAGTCAGGTCTTCTTGTGATGTTAATCAGCACTGAAACTGCATTCTTTCAGAATATAATGCATGTAATAGCTTATATGTTTGAAAGGGATTCAATTTATATTATAAATTGTTACTCAAAGTTCATGAAATGTTGTGGTGTGATCGAGAACCTCAAGCACTCTCTCTTTCAAGGTTCATAAAAGTTGATGACTTTATATGAAAGAAGAAGAGTTAAGTTTACTTCCTCTTCTTTATTGAAAAGAGTATTTATTACCTCATCAAGACTGCCATAGTATCAATCTTTGCTCATTAGTTTCATTTTTAAAACAAGGGCTATATGAAAAATGAGTAAAAATATATTGTACTAAAGCATAAATCTCTCATGTACTAATTAAAAATGACTTCTGCATATATATTAATGCTTTGCTATGCCATTAAGTTGTTAACATTTCAGTCAATTCACCTAAGTAGGAAAGTAAGGAAAATTAATCTGCAAACTATAGCTTTGCTGATGCAGTTTAAAAACTGCATTTGTCTTTTTTACAACATATCATACTATGGGCTCCTACATATACCTGGCTCCCTGCTATGTATCAACAGCCCTGCCTGAGCTGGCCGACGTAATAGCCGGGGTGGCGGTTGCGACCCCCAGACTTATGGTCATGGGGGATTTCAACCTGCCATCGGTGGGCGAGGCGTCGGCGGCAGCTCAGGAGTTCTTGGCTTCCATGACGGCCTTGGACTTGACCCAGTTGGTACATGCCCCCA